GATAAGTGCAGAAATTGATGCCTCACACAGCAACCTGGGATCACAAAGGAGGAGGTAACTAACTCCTCTGGCAAACCAGAGAAGCCTTCAAAGGGGCTGGTGGTCAGACTGGATCAGATAGGTTACTGCTTTGGGCAGTGTTGAGAAACCTTTAGACTGGAAGTTTCATAAAGTCTTCAGTTTTATAAAGACTAGAGAATAGTCAGCAAAGTCCAATTTGCCCTATCATGTAACCAAGATGCACTAAAAACTAGAAGTGTGTGGTAGAAACAGACATATATGTACCGCACAGAAGAAGGGCTTTAAACTCCAAGCTGGCAGGCTACAAGCCTGTATCCCCCAAGAGGATGTGGGACTGGGGACATGCCTCTCAGGGACTCATCTAGTCCAAACCCAGGTCTGGGGGATGAAACAGAGGTCATTTACTAGTTTGCAGGCCAAGAAGTGGATGTTCCTGATCCTGAGATCTTTTTTAAACTCTTGAGTAGGTACCCATTTCATCAACATTGCAGATTTAGTTGGGGATGGGGTGAAGGCTTTACATGTGTCTGAGCACTGCATGGACTTGCACAGGCCCTAAAATAGTTGGCACTATTTTAGGTTTAAGAAATATAGAATAAACACAGCAGACAATAAAAACATATAGGGTATGACATACAGTGCTATGGAAAAAATATAGCAGGAAAGGGCTGAGATGGAGAGCAATTTTAAACGGGAGGCCAGGTAAGATCTCAATAAAAAGATGGCATTGAAGTAATTACCTACTGAAGGGGAGGGGATGCACCATGGGGTTACCTAAGAGAAAGACAGCTCTGAGCAGACAGAACAGGGTGTGTACATGACAGGTTCCTGGACCAGCAGTGTGGCCAGGACAGGGTGAAGTAAGCAAACAGGAGGATCCTGAGAAAGAGGTCAGGGGAGCACAGGCAAGAGCAGGGAGGATCCTGCGGGCCACTGTAACTATATTCACTCTGAGTGAAATAGGAGCCACCGAAAGATTCTGAGCAGAGGAGTGACATGAAATGACATATTTTAAAAACGTGCAGTGGCTACTGGACTGATAAAAGATGGGAAAGGAGCAGGAGTGGAAGCAAGGAAGGAAGCTGTTAGGTTATTGCAGTAATGCAGGTCATGTAACTAGTACAGGGTGGACCAGGATTCGATGCAGGGACAGATATCAGTCACTACTTGATGCTCTTTTAAGACTTTTCATGTGAACAAAATCAGGAAGCAATTATTGACATTTCCATTTTGAACGTTTATAAAAAGGAATGTTTATTTAATTCTTTCCCTAAACTTGGAAAACCCTTGGCTTTTGCGGCAACATGCTGCTTTCCTTTCTGGATGTATTTTCAGAGACCCTAAAAAATATCCAGATGAATTGGGTAAAGCTGTGAGGAAAAAGGTAAGTCAAGGATGACTCCAAGATTCTTAGTCCAGGGCATGAAAGTTGTCACTGATTGTGATGGGGAAAACAAGTTTTGTGGGAGAAGATCAGGAAATAACTTTCATACAAGTGGTGAAGGAGGTATCTATTAAGCATCCAAACAAGGATGATGAGCAGGCAATTAATATAGGCGTTTGGAGTTCAGAGCTGTGGTTCATTCTACATGCTCCAGGTGAACTGATTATTCAGTAGTTTGATTATCATGAGTTGTTAAATATTTTGGATATTACTTTTGATAATATCTATTAAGTGGTATTAGAGTTGTCAGTCTAACCCATTTAATACATAATGTGCATATCCAGGTTTATTTTTACTAAAAAGTGACTTTGATTATGTAATTCCTTTGCTCAGAGGTCTTCAGTAGTGCCCCATGGCCTAAGTAATAAAGTTAAAATTTCTTAGTCTGAAATTAAAAGCTTTTCCCAATTTGATCCAAATCAACTTTAGGCAGAGCACATGAGCCCCTCTCTAGTTACACTGGGCTTATAAGAATCCTTCATACTTAGGCTTGTCCATCTCTGTTTCCTTTAAGTTGTTCCCCTTAACAGTAAATATATCTCAGCTCTCACCATCTATGAACATCCAATCCATCCTTCAAGGCCCAGCAAAAATTCCAACTCCTGCAATAACTATGAAAGCTCAGAATGAGCTCTCTCTGAATTCTTCAAAGCACGCTCATATACATGTATGTTTCACTGACAGTAGGAACTTCTGTTTTCCTTAGTGCCATGTGCATAGTAAGTGATAGGTAAATGACTGATGGGCCCTATCCTTAAGGCCATATTATTATTAAAATCTAAGCTCTTACATGTGTTATTATGAACAGCAACCCTAGGAAGAGGAATCTCTACTATCCCTAGCTTACTATGTGGGATTGGAGACTTAAGGGCCTTAAGCATCATTCCCAAATTTATAAGCAGTGAATGGCAGAGCTGAAATATGAATCCAGATGACTGCTTTCTGGGGCAGATGTTTTAGTCACCACTAGATACTCTGTCTCCTAGTTAGATAGCTTAGAGTAGGTAAGTCCTCCTGCTTAGAGTGGGTAGCCTGTCCCTTCTCCAGCGGATCTTCCCAACCCAGGAATAGAACTGGAGTCTCTTGCATTGCAGGTGGATTCTTTACCAACTGTGCTATCCGGGAAGCCCACTTAGATAGCACATTCACTTAAAATCCATGCAAATAAATCCAGAAAGCAAAGGAAGCTTTTCAACCCCCATTCTAAAAGGATAGTGAAGAAAAATCCATGTTTATTTCACATACCAAAGAATCTCTCCAAGCATTTATAGAAATGTGATGATTTCTCTTGGACTAATTTTGAGGGAGTCATCAAGCGGAGTGACAGTTCCTGACCACTACTGGTAGGCCTTGGTCCTTCACTTCACCGTATTTCCCTATGTTTGTTGTTTTCCTCTAGATATTAATATTATTTTAGTCACTTGAGAAATGAGAACTCCTCAAACTTGCTTTAGATACATGGAGTGACATATCCATTTCTCTGCAAGTTATCATGGCTACTAAGGCTTCTCAGGGAACAAAGTTTGACTGAAAGTCAGACACTGAACGTATATAGCATACGTGAGGCAGCGGAGGTGAGGCGAAGAGAGCATGTATAGCAGAAAATATCCAGTTTATTCCTGGGACTGTACATGTAATGCACATTCCTTTTTTTCTCCCACCAAACTTGGGATACTCCGGGAGAGTTATTATTTATTCATAAATCACCACATGGATATCTGGATCTAATGGAAAATCCATTTGTTGTTAAACTGCCATGGCAGGAGAGGCAAAAAATAATATAATGAAAAATGCAAAAATACAGGATTTCCATTCAGTAGAATCACTCACACCCTGATGGGCTACAACAACAAATGTTCAACAGGATACCCATACAGAGAGGACCTACAGACAGCAATGGCTGGCAAGCAAATGTTCCTTCTAACCACTTCTTTAGGTCAGTGCTACCTCATGCACTGGGTGAGTCTTACTGAAAAAGATAAGGCTGAAAGGAACTTTGACCATATGTAACTATGCTTTGAGTACGTGTGTATTTGGGAGGGGGAGTTGGGAGAGAAAAGAATACTTTTTTATGTTATTGTCTTTTTTTTTTTTTCTGATGAGTGGATTTAACAGTTAATGAAGTATCAGTCTCCAGGAAACCCCTGCTTGTATTCCCTCAAATCAAATCACACGTGACTCGTTTTACCTTTAGAACTCTGAACAACTTGTTTCCTGCTTGTATTTTTGGATCTTGCCTTAAGGAAATATCATTCTATTTCACTCAAGTGTACCCCCTAAACAGACCGAGAAACCAGCAGAAAGTACACACACACACACACACACTCCAGATGGAGAGAGCCACAGATATCAGAGGTGTGGCCAGCTCGGGAAGCAGAGGGAATTCAGTGTGGTGTGAACACAGAACCAGAGTTGGAGAGCTAAAGATGAGGAGCTAACAGAGACAATGGAGCGTCAAATCCTAGCCACCCTTCCATTCCCTGTTAAAGAGTTTGCATTTCAGGAGTGTTAGGATTGACCCTACATATATGCTGATATCGAATAGAGAGGTCTAAAGAAAAATGTAAACTAAGTAACTAAATTCTTTTCTCCTTTCAGCCACACATTCTTTCCTTTCTATATTCTTGGCTCTCCCTTCATCCCCTTACCTCCAGTCAAGAATGAGGTCCTCTGCCCCATCACGGCCCCGGTGTGTAGCTCAGAGCACCTGCTTTCCTTGCTTTTATCTGCACTGCCTGTCAAGTGCTCCATACCTCAGTGCCCCATAAAACTACAAGCCAACTCATTACAGCTGAATGTTAGTGGAAAAAAAGACTTCATTTCCCTGGAGTTATGGAGAAAATGTGGACCAACTACAGAAAAAACAGTCTTGAGACTTTACACTTGAGAACCAAGTTTAAATATCCTGCCAATATAGAAGATTTATTTTACAAACAATACCCAATAACTTTGTAATGAATTATTTTCTTTTCTAGTTCCATAAGAATTAGTAGCACTTACAGAATTATGCATGACATTAAAGTTCACACAGTTAAGCTGATACACATAAGACATTGCCAGAAAATCCAGCCCTTAGGGAAGCAAGTACCCTGAGTTGTCAAAAAGTCAACAGTTACTTAATTGATCTGGGAAATACAGTGAAGTTATGGCAGCTCAGCTACTGAGGAAAGACTGATGTGCCTAGGCTAGTCTGTGGTAACTTCCTCCTGCAGTGAGAGAACTGCCAGTAAGGGAGGAAAGGCGATTTACATACCATAGCAAGGCAACCTGCCTTGTATGTTAGTCACAGCCTACCAGCTTGAGACATCCCGGAAACCCCGAGCTGGAAGAGAAGAAAAGTTATCGTCACAGTTGCCTTTAGCCTTATTCTGTATAATTCACATACAGAGTCACTTCTGTACATCTTCAGTGAAAAATTGTTACTATTGTTTTCTGTCACGAGTTAACTATTTTTGTAGTAGTTTTTAAATTGTATATATTTTGCTCTCACTTTAAAACACAACATTTTCTTCTTTTTTTCTTTCTGCTCTCCAAGCCTCCAGGAAAAACAGCTTCTGTGGCACATTTCTTACAGAGCACAGCTAGAATGAGTGGTGCAGAAAGTTCTACGGATCATGCAGAGGTAAGAACACATTTCTGGGAGATGAATTGACCATACATAGCATCAACAGCATTGCTGATGGCTAATTATGCAAAGATTAATAAGAATAGAAGTGGCTAGTTTGCTTTCTTTAGGTAAGATATGCTCTATATATTTCAATAAAGAAAAAATATCTAGGTGACTGGTTGCATTTTCTTTGACACCTCTGAGCTACATTTCTTTTTGTTTTTAAAGTGAAAAATAAAATCCTGTCCTTTCAGCTTTTCAATTCTATGTTTCATATTTTGCTCTTGACTTAAAAAGGAATTTGGTTTAATGTAAAATTTAAAAGAATATTATATTGGTGTGCTTAGAAATAAAATCTATTACAGCAGTAGAGTACCTGTGGTAAAATACTTATATACATGCAATTAACATCACATTCTTTGCTCTTTTACTGTTTACTGCAACAGATACTAATTGAAAGTGCTTTCTTAAAGTATTTTTTAATGATAACTAAGATATAATAGGAAACAGACTCTTTCGTCCATTCAGGTATTTAATTTAGCAGTCCCAGAACTTGAATCTCTTAAAAGCTGATCTGGGCATTAGGGTGAATGAGAAAGCAAGGTCTGAATACTTTGTACATAGATTACATTTTATAGGGAGTACTTTTTCTTTAAAGGAGCCCTTACAAGGACCAGTGACCTAAAAATCTTTCTATGCCTTTATTAGCAAATAAGAAGCATAGCAAAAACAAGTGAAAAGTTTCTTCAAAACTTTGTATTTGACTGTTTTGTTTCATTTTGATACACATCTATGTCATATGAATGGTGGTAAAATGTTGATTAATCTCCACAGAAAGTCTTAGTGATATATTTATGACTTATAAGTCATACCTATTGCTGTGCTTTATCTGTCTTTCAGATTTAATATATTTACTAAGTCATTTTATAAAGAATTTTATAAAGATTTAAAAATAACTTTTAAAAGAAAATAAAGAGTCAAACTACTTCATAATTTTTCAGAGAAAATTGTATATGGAAAAAATGCAAACTATCTGATTACTCTCAATCTAAATTCTCAGAAGGCAGGGTATACAAATGTCTGTTGGTCACAGAATTTTTTTTGTCTTTGTCATAAATAGAAAAAAGACTTTTTGAGGACCCCAAATTCAAGTTCTGAACCATGGTGTGGAATGGAGGAAACTTGAACTTTAATATGAATCATGAAAATCAGTGGTGGGATTTAAAAATAGAGGTGGGATAAGTAGGTGAAGCACAGAGAATTTTTAAGACAGTGAAACCATTCTACAGGATCTTATAATGATAGACACATGTCATTACAGATTCATCTACATCCACAGAATGTACAACAGCAAGAAGGGATCGTAATGTAAACTGTGGATTTGGGTGATAATGCTGCGTCAAGGCAGGTTCATCTATTAACAAATATACCACTCTGGTAGAGGATGCAATGGGGAGAGCTACCCATGTGTTGGGGCAATAGGTATATGGGAAATCTCTATACTCCCCACTCAATTTTACTGTGAACCTGAAACTTCTCTAAAAAGTAAAATCTATTAAAAAGAAGATAGAGTGCTATAGCTCCCTTTCAGAAATTCTGATCGGTGTTCTGGGTGCCCTATGTTTACCAAGCCCCCAGGTGAATGCACCCTAGTGGTGAGAGAACCACTAGTCTAGCATCCAGTCTTTCTGCATCTCTGCTTCACCAAGCCCAGCACACACCCAGTAGGGTTGCTTCACAGCATTTTCCAAATCAGCTATGACTAATTTTTAGTCTGTTCTGATCCAGAATAAGTTCCACCCCTTAGAAGTCTTCCTAAAAAAACAGAAATCTCAATTTCAGGACCCAACATACTTGTCACCTGGAAACTGATACCACTGCTGGCACTGGGCTAACCCAGTTTGAGGTCAAGAAGCAGGTATAATCATTCTGATTTTTGTTGACCTACAGAAGAATGCCTCTTTCTAAATGCAGTCTTAGTTACACATGGGTCTGAATAGGAAGTAACTAAAAAAACTAAGAATAGCATCTATAGAGGTGTAAAACACCACGGAACCATAAAGCATGGAGACAAAAGTTAGCAAGGGTAGAAAAATAATTTTATAAATCATTTCTAATGAAAGAAGTCCTTGAAATTACATGATGATTACAAAACAACATTTCTTGTAACATTTCTAGCAAAGGCCAACATGTTTTGAAAATATTTCTTATTGTTCACGAATACCCTTAAGCAATTTCTTGGTCCACAATAATTATTGAGCCTGAAACTAAACGGCAGATTTCCAGACTACCCTCATCATCCAATTCATTGTATTTATGATTCAGCCATGCAATGGTTTTAAGACTATTGAGTTAGAACAGAAAAAACAATACTTTAGTGAACTTTGCTGGTGATCGCTTTAGACAGATGGTAGGCAGTTTCCAGAATGTTTGTGCTTTCTTTAAATGAATAATATTTTCTTAAAAATAAAAGTGATTAATTTTTCACCATGCCAATGATTTATTATTCATCTAAATTTGTCACCTAGCAGCTTTATACATAGGGCTGGTTAAAATTACACAATACCAGATAACCTATGCCCACCTCTCTAAGATAATCATATGATGGTCACTGAAGTAGTTAATGTATTATTATTGCTTCAGAATCAGTTTGTCTCCGTGTAACGTACTGTGTTAGTCTCGTTTCCTTGGTTCTATCACGCCTCTGACTTTTGTCAGGGCCACTCCAAATCATAGGCATGTCTGGTAAATGAATTTTTTTTTTAATTTTACCAGGTAAATACCTAACATGTATCTATGAAACTTACCTGATTTCTATATACATTATATTCTGTACATTATATTCATTTTTGGGGGGAAATGATTGAAATCCAAATTCATAAAATTCTAATTTCTTGCTTACCTTTTATATAGATACATTTGTAATTTATTCAATAATTGTCTAAGTAGTTAATTCATATAAAAGAGTTTCTAAAATATAAAGCTTTTTCATCAACAGTCCTCTATGAAGAAGATAATATTTTAGCAAAATTTTTATAAATTACAAATGAGAGCTTGTGAAAGGCAGCATTTCTCCTGTTTACTTGATAGACTATTCTGGTTTGCTTTTTTTTTTTAAGTGTGCTCAATCGTCAAGAAGAAAGAACTTAAATTCTCTTGAACAAAAGATAAGATGTCTGGAAAAGCAGAGAAAAGAGGTAATTTTGCAATATTAATTGAAGCAACACAGGGTTGATGCTGACAATGAAAGAGGCTCCTCGTGCCTTTCGCTTTTGCTGCTGGTCGCAGTCTGCATCCTCGGGATCAGGGGCTGCATTACACTGAGAGCAAATGCCTCTTTCTCACTCACCTACAGATCTCTGACTCGGTCTCTCAATGCTTGTGCGAACGGATAAAAAATGACAGACGCATAAATTCAATAATTTTAATTTAAGTTTTGTAACTAGATGTTTCTTCCATATGGGCCAGGTGAGTTTATCAGCTGGGCTGTTAATGCTCTGCAACTTGGCACACCTTGAAACTCAAACTGTCAAAGGCCTTATTGTATAGTTGACTTGGGTACCATGACATCATGAGTTGGCATCTGACCAACAGGGGTTAAGGAGCATTATCACAAAAGAAGTTTGTTTTAAAACGTCATTAGGTATGTAATGGATATTATTTTGAGTTCTGTTTTTCTGAGTTTAATGAATATTAGAACGTCTTTATTCTCCTTGACAGAGGAAACGGTAAAAACAATAACAATTTTGGCACTATTTAGTCAATTTGGTGCTTCCTTTTCTAAGTCATTTTCTGTTGGTCCTTTAATGGACAGGAACCTGGTGGTCCGGAGTCGACGTTAAGAAAGTAAGAGAGAGAAAGAGGCTGATAGCGCTTGTTGGTCCTTTAATGGACCGGAACCTCATGGTTCCGAGAGTAAGAGAGAGAAAGAGGCTGACATCCCCTGGTTTACGCGGAAAGCCAACAGAGCCCTGTTCTCAGGGCTGGCGCTGCTGCGCGGAGGCACCGGGCGCCCTCTCGAGTGGGTGAAGGCAGAGTGCGCCTTCTCGAGAGGGTCTTAGAAGCCCGGGCAAGAAAGTGAGCTCAGCGGGCCTCCGCGCTCCAAGGAATTAGCCACAACTAGAGAGAGAGAGAGAAGGAATAGAAAGAAAGAAGGAAAGAAAGAAAGACACGGGGGACCAAAGCTCTGATGGAGCAAAGATGTTTTAATCAACATGGCATGGGCATATATACTGTCTTACAAGGTGGTTATTCTCAGCAAAGACAAAGATTAAAATTCCAGACTTACAAAACATAAGATGATCCCTATCAAAGAGAGAGTTGCAAGCAATCACCTTTTACCATATGGCTCATAAAAAGGAAGAGGGTACCTATCACTGTAATGAGAAATGCCTGGATTCCTCAGCCCCGGGAAAGGCGTGCCTCTCCTCTTAATTCCTGAATATTCAGGAATCAGTAAGGGCCAGAGGGTTCCTGACAGATCCACAACAGCACACAGGAAGCCTCTTGTTAAATGCTTCCTGACAATTTTCTACACTACAGCCTTTCTGTTTTCTTCTATGGTGTCCTCCACCCTTTGATACTGCATAAAATAGTGTGCTCTTCTGGAAAAGTACTGAACTTCAGCAAAGTAATGTTACCAGTGCATAGAAATGTTAGTCCCTAAAATGACAGGAGCTCAGGGATCTTTATAAAATAATATTATATAGTCTTATCTAAAAAGTTATATCTATTTCTAGCGTAAGAGTTACCTAGCTACTGCCACTCTGGATTAGATATTGTTTTGTAATGAAGAGAAAGTTTTGTTACCTTTTTAGTCATTATATCTATCTTCTCCATGTCTGCCCTATATTTATAGCTGTTGGAATTTCTTTTAATGTGGAAAGCTGTAGACTTCCCTGACTAGAAAACTAAAAAGAGGTCATAGTGTTTTTCCTTTCATCTATTTAGCACATAGTTTTGAAGTTTGAAACAAAGTTACAAGTTGTTTGCAGCCTAAATTGCTTCTAAAATAGTCTTATGACAAAACTATTATTCCTTGAATAATCTAAGCTTTCAAAAAAGTGATATTATATATTAGTTGTGTATATTATACAAATCATGTACTGATTTTTAAAAAAAAACACACATTGCAAGCAAATGATTATCAGCTAATGAGACTTGGAATTTTTAATATAAATTCTGCCTTTAAAAGATATAAGAAATATTACATTATAATAGTCAAGGTAAGCACATAGAAAAATATGGAAAGATTTTATAAAAGACTTCAAATGTGAATAAATATTACAGAAAACCATTAATGCAATTTGTATCAGGTTCTGGTTGGATTGAACAAAGAAGATGAAAATTCAAATAAGTATGCAAAGTTAAAACTTTCTAATAAATTGTTCGGCTGACTAGTCAACATATACCTAAGATGTACTAGTTTTTCACATGTGAGCCAATTATGAAAGGTGAATGGGTTAACTCATCCCAGATCTACCAGAACTTGGTGGAAAGAATACTATCTTCACCAATGACTTCCAAAATCTTACCTCAAAAAGTGATTTCATTTTGACTAAATTTCCAACTGAGCAGAATCCTTTGTTGATTTACCAAATTCTAATAATTTCAGCTCCTGGAAGTTAACCAGCAATGGGATCAGCAATTTAGAAGCATGAAAGAGTTATATGAAAGAAAGGTAAACACCTCTCTGTTTGGCATTTGCTTTAAATCAATAATCTGAGTGAGCCAAGTATGTGAAGATTTTCATTGATTTCAACTACAGGAGATTTGTGAATAGCCAGCCTTCTGTTGAAAAATGATAAGGAGGAGGGTGCTGAGTGTATTACTGGCTTCTTGGTACTGAAGACTAATGAAGGAAGCAAAGGTGTCAGTGAATTGTCTTGAGAATGTAAAAATAAAGATACTAAAAATAGCCTCCAGCGGTATCTCTAAATTCTTAGGCACATTTATCAGAGCTCACAGAGCATCCTGGCTCTGTTACTAGCAGCCATAAAAGCACAAAGTTATTTGTAAGATGAGAGATGGCTTAAAGTTCATACTGTTTTATACAAGGCTAGTTCTCTAATTCTTTATAGCATAAGCTGTTTCCCACAGATAAGGAAAGAATGCTAACAGCGAGTGAGGGGAAATGGGGCAAACCCTCTTCTCTCTAAAGCATGTTCTCAGACAAGAAACTTTTGCTTTGGTGAGAAATAATTTTTTTAAATATATATTTAAAGAGGAAAAGTCAACTTATTATTTAAAATAATTTCATGTTTCAAAAGAGAGAGAAGAGAAAGTAAACTCCCTGAATAATTCAGAATTAAGAAATTTGACCACAAGTGAGAAATACAGCAGAATGGCTCTTTTCTTCCTCATTTTGATACTCAAAAGTATTACATTTAGAAAAAGCAAGATGGTTTTCACTACACCAGGCCATGGCCAAGCCACCTTATATAATAATATTCAGAGGGGCAGCTTTTGGGTCTCCAAATTTTAAGTCACATGATCCCAGAGAAAACATTTAGTTACCTTCCCAAAGGGCTTGCAGCTGCGTGAAGACCCAGGGTTAAAAATGGTCACACTCTCCATCTTTGATGAAGTGCTTGTTCCTAAGGCTTCTCTTGCTGGACCCCTGCAAGCCAGACACCTAATTTGGAATTTAATAGCAGGTCAAGAGATTTGGCACGCACTGCACAGCAGGTCAAGCGCTGCAGGTTACTGAGGAGTTAAAGGCCATATCTGTTTTTCTGTAATGTAAGCATGTTCACTGATCTCCACCCTTCACTGCCTTCTTCAGATCAGGCAAGGCGCACCTTGCCAGTTGAAAAACAGAATGACAAGCCTCGATGGCTCCCGTAAGGTCTAAGGGATTATTTCCTCCAAAGGGGCGTAGTCTGGAGAAAGGAGTCTACAAGCTGTTTTGGTGTTTGCTTTTTTCTCTTGTAGAGGAAGCATTTTTTTAAAAGCAAAAGACCTGATCTTGGTTTGGGGCAGTGGGAAGAGCAGCCCCTCCGTAGGGGACGCCCAGGAGTGAGCCAGTTCTGTCCCGCGGTGTTAGGTTGGGAAAAAAATACAGGGGTTGGTGGACTTCGGACCAGGTGTCTGCAGCTGTCTGTGACCCACTCCTGCCTGCAGGTCGCAGAGCTGAAATCGAAACTGGATTCCGCAGAAAGATTCCTGGGAACACTGGAGAAGGAGCGGCTGCAGAAGCCCAGCGAGAGCTGCCCGCCGCGCTGCTGGACCAACGAGTCGCTGCGGCGTGCGGAGGTGGGCGGGGCTCGGGAGCGAATCCCCGCCCCCAGGAGGGCGGGGCCCCTGCCTCCGCTGGGCCAGGGGGTACAGGGTACGGAGGGCCCAAAACCAGGGGCCACGTCTCTAAATCAGAAGGCAGGATGTGCCCTATTCGCTTCCTCCTTTGCCGTTCAGGAGGCTCCATCCGCAGGGAGATCCAAGCCACAGATTTGGGGGTGTTTTTCTAGGGCATTGCGGCCTAGGAAAAAATTTATTTTGCTTTTTTGCCTTTACTCATACTGATTTATTTTTACTGCTATTGTTGGTAATATGACAAATCTTTGTACAGCTGCTTTTCAGCTTACAAGAAGCTTTACAAAAAAGTATGACTTTTATCACCCTAAAAAGATAACATTTTTGAAAAGTGTCTCATCCTCCTCATCTCATTTAACATTCGCCGCCCATCTGTGAGGAAAATCTTACGTTTGTCATTTTAGAAATGAGAAGGCTGAGGTGTAGAGTTTAGACGGCTTGTCAATATCTATAAGTAGCACATGGGAAAATGGGACTTCAACCCAGTCTCCAGATTGGAAGGGTCCTTTAATCCCCTTGAGAACTAGAAGGTGGCGTTGAGATGATGCCTTTTCTTAATGTGGACTCCTGGTTTTATGTTTAGTTATGGGACTTTACAGTTATGGGACTGCGAACAAAGCTAGTAAAGGTGATGGAATTCCACTTGAGCTATTTCAAATCCTAAAAGATGATGCTGTGAAATTGCTGCACTCAATATGCCAGAAATTTTGGAAAACACAGCAGTGGCTATAGGACTGGAATCCAAGTTCAGTTTTCATTCCAGTCCCAAAGAAAGGCAATGCCAAAGAACATTCAAAGTGCCACACAATTGCACTCATCTCACATGCTAGCAAAGTAATGCTCAAAATTCTCCAAGCCAGGCTTCAATAGTATGTGAAACTTGAACTTCCAGATGTTCAAGCTGGATTTAGAAAAGGCAGAGGAACCAGAAATCAAATTGCCAACATCCGTTGGATCATAGACAAAGCAAGAGAGTTCCAGGAAAACATCTATTTCTATTTTATTGACTATGCCAAAGCCTTTGACTGTGTGGATCACAGCAAACTGTGGAAAATTCTTCAAGAGATGGGAACACCAGACCACTTGACCTGCCTCCTGAGAACCCTGTATGCAAATCAAGAAGCATCAGTTAGAACTGGACGTGGAACAACAGACTGATTCCAAATAGGGAAAGGAGTACATCAAGGCTGTATATTGTCATCTGCCTATTTAACTTACACGCAGAGTACATCATGCAAAATGCTGAGCTTGATGAAGCACAAGCTGGAATCAAGATTGCCAGGAGAAATATCAATAATTTCAGATACACAGATGATACCACCATTATGGCAGAAAGCAAAGAATAACTAAAGAGCCTCTTGATGAAAGTGAAAGAGGAGAGTGAAAATTATGAATTTAAGCTCAACATTCAGAAAACTAAGATCATGGCATCCGGTCCCATCACTTCATGGCAAATAGATGGGGAAGCAATGGAAACAGTGAGAGACTTTATTTTGGGGGGCTCCAAAATCACTGCAGATCGTGATTGTAGCCATGAAATTAAAAGACTCTTGCTCCCTGGAAGAAAAGCTATGGCCAACCTAGACAGCATATTAAAGAGCAGAGATATAGCCTCCCTTTTGATGCTGCCTCTCATCTCCCTTCCCATGCCAGCCCTCTGATTAATGTTGAGGTTTGACAGAAAACAGCAAAATTCTGTAAAGCAATTATCCTTCAATAAAAATTAAATTTAAAAAAGCAGAGACATTACTTTGCTGACAAAGTTCAGTCTAGTCAAAGTTTTTCCAGTAGTCATGTATGGATGTGAGAGTTGGACTATAAAGAAAGATGAGCGCCAAAGAATTGATGCTTTTGAACTGTGGTGTTGGAGAAGACTCTTCAGAATCCCTTGGACTGCAAGGAGATCCAACCAGTCAATCCTAAAGGAAATCAGCCCTGAATATTCATTGGAAGGGCTGATGCTGAAGCTGAAACCCCAATACTTTGGCCACCCGTTGCGAAGAACTTAGTCATTTGAAAAGACCCTGATGCTGGGAGAAATTGAAGGCAGAAGGAAAAGGGGACCACAGAGGATAAGATGGTTGGATGGCATCACCGACTCAATGGACATGAGTTTGAGCAAGCTTGGGAAGTTGATGATGGACAGGGAAGCCTGGTGTGCTGCAGTCCATGGGGTCACAAAAAGTCAGACACGACTGAGCAACTGAACTTCACTGAACTGATGGGACTTCATGAATATTGTAGGAAAAGTGTGGAGGCCCTTGAGCCCTAAAGGCCTCTCATTTTTTCAGACAGGAAAAAGGAGAATAAGGCTAATTTTCTCAGGTGAAGTCTTGTGACTGATATTGTGATGAAGTGGTTGTGTTTTACAACATGTACAAGTCTTAAGGTAGTTTCACACATTAGTACATGACAACATCTATTCAGATTTCCCACCTTGCTAAGGATATCTTTGGCAGTGTCCAAAGAAAGCAAAGTTTAGCAGTTCCCTTTCTGCCATGTAAAAGTTCCTTTCTGTTCCATCTACACCCAGCACAAGAATCATGGTTACTTTTTTCCCCTATGCCATTTGGATCATTTTCTAGTTGAAATAATTTTCTCTTAAGCTATGCTAAATTAAAAAAAATTTGGTGAATTTTCTAGGTGTACATATAGATCTATTCTGGTTAAACAAAGGCAAATAGAAATGTTTTCACTTTTAAGGAAAACAACTCACCTAAAGTTGATTTCTTAAATCATTGTTTTGGGAAACAATAGATATTAAAACAATATACTTTAACATATAGATTTACCTAAACTCCAGAATATTTATTTTACTAGGTTAAAATTTTCATCTCATTAAGAATCCAGTTCACTCGACAAAAAGTTTACTGCCCAGAATATAAAATTAGGAGATAGGAGACAGCTGTTGTCTGAATTCAGAACCGGTGTCTAAGCCACTAGCCTTGCTTCAAGTACTTAAAACGCTGGATTGCTTGAAGGCGATCTGAAAAGTAGAGGAGTGATGGCAGTTGGACCAGCCCATCTCTACATTTTAAAAGAAATCATCACAAAAATATAGCACTCTGAATAATTATCTGTGATGTAGGGTCTTATTGCCTGAGGTTTTCATCCTTTATTATCTTCTGTCTCTCTTCAGGCCAGAATGAAGCAAGGCATTGATATTGATATTTTTTGTTGCAGTGACACTTTTTGCATTTTAAAACTTTCAGTTATTTTTTAGTGAATCAGTCTTTCGTCACCACCTTATAACTGTGCATAGGGAATAGCTTATTCTGCAGACTCATTTGATCCTTGAAAGTGAGGAGTGGGGATTTTGATATCTTGTTCTGGGGTCACAAAACTTAGTAGCAGTAAGGATAACAGAAAGATTTCTTCTATCCTAATCCTGACTTCCACCCAGAGTTGTTGTTGTTTAGTTGCTAAGTCACATCCGACCCTTTTAAGATCCCACAGACTATAGGCCGCCAGGCTCCTATGTCCATGGGATTTCCCAGGCAAGAATACTGAAGTGGGTTGCCATTTCCTTCTCTAGTGGATCTTCCTGATCCAGGGATCAAACCCACGTCACCTGCATTCACAGGCAGGTTCTCTACAGACGAACCATGACGGAAGCCCACCCAGAGATTATTACTCAAGTGGGATGTTAAATGAAAATCTAGTAGGTCTTGTTTGTTTTGTTTTGTTTTTTAATTTCAGAAGTAGTCCTACAAAATCATCTCATCTGAATTTTATTGTTTGGAATTTGTTTTCTTGCTTTATATTTCAGAAGGATAAGGAGAGCCTAAATGGAGAATTACATGAATTGAAGATAGAGAATAACCTTTTGAAGGAAAAAAATGCTCTCATGAACCACAAGAAGCAACGTTATGAATGTGAAATAAAACGCCTCAATAAGGTATCAAGCCAGGTGAAGCTGAAGAGGTCAGATGTGAGGTTTCTGTATAAAGAGTACATTCTGGGCTGAGACTCACAGCAAAATCCACTCACGCTGCAAGGCAGCTCACAGTCTTGGGGGGCTTGCACAAAAGGTCTCTGTAATTTTATAAATCTCTCCAAATTCCTCATTCAGCTATGCTTGGCTAAGGATTTTTTGGGGATTCGTGTCCCTGCAAAGATTGTCATGAAAAAGATAAGGAGATATTATAAAAGAGAGTAAGAATTTCTTTTTTGGCGGTTCAAAGAACCACATAAAGCAAGTGGGTGTTTGTGAAGAGTAGTGTGTGTCTTGGTCAACCACAAAAGTTTCCTGAGGAAACAGACTGCACTTTAAAATCATCATGGTGGAGCTGCTAGGTGTGAAGCAGACTACATGGAAGCAGGCTAAATGCCAAAGCCAAGTATGGCGGCTTTTCTGAGAATAAGCCTTTTAGAGGGGAGAGTGGGGATAGATCTATTAAGAAAATGCAGGTGATTTTAATGCCTTTGCTCCAACTTAACTATTCAAAGGGGCCACCTTTGAATTGCTGCAAAAGAATGACATGTGAGTGAGTGTGTCTGTGTGTTGTTTCATGGACTAAACCTTAATTTTCTGTGGGAAGGAATTGCTGACTTGTTCAGGGGAAAAAAATTAAACCCTTTGCTGTTGACTTTTTCATACATGGACCATAGAAATACCTGTAGGAGTTGAAATATTCATCTCTCAAGCTAGGTATTTCTTGGCCAAAGTAACAGAAATTGTCTTCTAAAATGAGTAGGTAATTGGCCTTAAACACATGGTTGGTGCTTGCATTTTGGACTGTGCCATCTTGCAGTTAAGTAGTTTTCAGAGGTATAACTTAAAGATTCCCAGAGTGTTAACTATGTGCCTATACAGTTGATAGGATGCTTTACAAATGTGATGCTGTATTTGATCTATTTATGAGGCAAGCTGTTATTTAGGATAAAGTGAGAAATTGGAGTTTGACTTCGTAAACAGTGTACTTCTCTATCCTTTAAGAGAGAAAATCAATGGAGATACAGATTCAGGGCAAATGGATTTTCTCTCTTATTCTCTGCTGGAAATTCTCTGCAAATGAATTAGAGGAGCTGGCATTAATTGAGATTATATTTGAAATGTCTCCCACTTTTGGTACGTCATCGCTTATTAGTTCTCTGTTTCTCTAAATGTGGACATAAGGATATAAAGCCTGTATAAATTAGAACAGTCAAGAACTCTGTTTTTAACTCAAGAAGCTCATATGTAACCTTAATTTTTGTGTATCTGCTTTTATAGTCAACAGGAAAAAAACTTTTAATAAGTAAAAACTTTATAGCTCATGATTATAATCTTGAAATCTCAATGAGAAAAATTAATTTGAGTAAAATTCAGAGCTTTATACAAATGTCATCTTCTCAAAGAGGATTTTTCTGGTTATCCTAACTAAAATTATGTACTACACCTCTAAAGTTTCCTGTTTTAATTTTTCCTTGGAATTCATTGCTATTTAATATATGCAAAATGTCTCATGTTTATTATCATATTTGCTTGCTCTCTCCCAGTCTTGATTATAAGCTCCATGTGGGCAGGATTTTTGCAGGGCAGACATCTCTCTTAGGCATGGTAGACCCAGTGTTGAGTACTCACAATACTTTTAGTGGCCCACTGAGATGCTTAATTTCTCTTAAAGTCAGAGGGAAAAAAATGAAAGCTTTATGTCAAAAAAACATTTCATATTAATATTAACATATTCATCTTTGTAAGAATGCAAATATATAAATTTACTATCAATACCTATTTATTTGAAGAAGGAGACTCACAAGGACAATAGTCATAATGGGGCCCTGAGTTTCTCTGTTTTGTTCACTGCTGTATTTGAAGTGCCTAGAACAGGGCCTTGCTCATAATATGTTCTTTTTTGTTTGTTTGTTTTTATTAGTTGGAGGCTAATTACTTTACAATATTGTAGTGGTTTTTTGCCATACACTGGCATGAATCAGCCATGGATTTACATGTGTTCCCCATCCCGATCCCCCCTCCTGCCTCCCTCCCCATCTCATCCCTCTGGGTCTTCCCAGTGCGCCAGCACTGAGCACTTGTCTCACGCATCCAGCCTGGGCTGCTGATCTGTTCCACATTTGATAGTATACTTGTTTCAATGCTGTTCTCTCAGAACATCCCACCTTCGCCTTCTCCCACAGAGCCCAAAAGTCTGTTCTGTACATCTGTGTCTCTTTTTCTGTCCTGCATATATGGTTATCTTTACCATCTTTTAAAATTCCATATATATGCGTTAGTATATTGTATTGGTCTTTATCTTTCTGGCTTACTTCACTCTGTATAATGGGCTCCAGTTTCATCCATCTCATTAGAACTGATTCAAATGAATTCTTTTTAATGGCTGAGTAATATTCCATGCTGTATATGTACCACAGCTTCCTTATCCATTCGTCTGCTGATGGGCATCTAGGTTGCTTCCATATCCTGGCTATTATAAACAGAGCTGCAATGAACATTGGGGTATACGTGTCTCTTTCAGATCTGGTTTCCTCGGTGTGTATGCCCAGGAGTGGGATTGCTGGGTCATATGACAGTTCTATTTCCAGTTTTTTAAGGAATCTCCACACTGTTCTCCATAGTGGCTGTACTAGTTTGCATTCCCACCAACAGTGTAAGAGGGTTCCCTTTTCTCCACACCCTCTCCAACATTTATTGCTTGTAGACTTTTGGATAGCAGCCATCCTGATTGGCGTGTAATGGTACCTCATTGTGGTTTTGATTTGCATTTCTCTGATAATGAGTGATGTTGAGCATCTTTTCATGTGTTTGTTAGCCATCTGTATGTCTTCTTTGGAGAAATGTCTGTTTAGATCTTTGGCCCATTTTTGGATTGGGTCATTTATTTTTCTGGAATTGAGCTGCAGGAGTTGCTTATATATTTTTGAGATTAGTCCTTTGTCTGTTTCTTCCTTTGCTATTATTTTCTCCCATTCTGAAGGCTATCTTTTCACCTTGCTTATAGTTTCCTTTGTTGTGCAAAAGCTTTTAAGTTTAATTAGGTCCCATTTGTTTATTTTTGCTTTTATTTCCAATATTCTGGGATGTGGGTCGTAGAGGATCCTGCTGTGATTTATGTCGGAGAGTGTTTTGCTTATGTTCTCCTCTAGGAGTTTTATAGTTTCTGATCTTACATTTAGATCTTTAATCCATTTTGAGTTTATATTTGTGTATGGTGTTAGAAAGTGTTCTAGTTTCATTCTTTTACAAGTGGTTGACCAGTTTTCCCAGCACCACCTGTTAAAGAGGTTGTCTTTTTTCCACTGTATATTCTTGCCTCCTTTGTCAAAGATAAGGTGTCCGTAGGTACGTGGATTTATCTCTGGGCTTTCTATTTTGTTCCATTGATCTATATTTCTGTCTTTGTGCCAGTACCATACTATCTTGATGACTGTGGCTTTATAGAAGAGCCTGAAGTCAGGCAGGTTGATTCCTCCAGTTCCGTTCTTCTTTCTCAAGATTGCTTTGGCTGTTCAAGGTTTTTTGTATTTCCACACAAATTGTGAAATTATTTGTTCTAGTTCTTTTAAGAATACCGTTCGTAGCTTGATAGGGATTGCGCATTTATGATAAAAACTCTCCAGAAAGCAGGAGTAGAAGGAACATACCTCAACAGAATAAAAGCTATATATGACAAACCCACAGCAAACATTATCCTCAATGGTGAAAAATTGAAAGTATTTCCCCTAAGATCAGGAACAAGACAAAGGTGCCTACTCTCACCACTACTATTCAACATAGTTTTGGAAGTTTTGGCCACAGCAATCAGAGCAGAAAAAGAAATAAAAGGAATCCAGATAGGAAAATAAGTGAAACTCTCACTGTTTGCAGATGACATGATCCTCTACATAGAAAACCCTAAACACTCTACCAGAAAGTTACTAGAGTTAATCAATGAGTATAGTAAAGTTGCAGGATATAAAATTAACACACAGAAATCTCTTGTATTCCTATACACTAACAATGAGAAAACAGAAAGAGAAATTAAGGAAACAATACCATTCATAACATGTTCTTAAATATTTGTTGAGGAATGAATTAACTAACTAATGTAATTTGCTGATGATGTAATATACTCAATAGCCAGTTGTGATCCTGGCGTCTATGCTTTAATAGGCCCAGCACTTTTCTCTTACCTATGAGTAGTAAGAAAAAATAAAAGTGCACTTCACACAAGAAGAGACTTCACCCCCCACGTCTGTACCTTCAACTGTCACTTGTAAAACACAGGTAAAAAGTGATGAGCTATAAAAAGATTTTTTTCTCTTTTTTTTTCATGTAGTACAAAGAGGTTTTTTTCTCATTTAGTGTCTAATGAAATGTAAGAAATTATTCTGTTTTATACTGTAGATTTTTCTTTTCTCTTTACCACTGTAATAAATAGAAGTTATTTTAAAAATGATGATTTGGGTATCTAATTGTGCATACCATTCATCACAGGATGGAGTTTGGGGCCCATCCTGCTTGCTCACACTTACCACCTGCTGACCCGGTCCCCCAGCAGAAATTCATAGCATGTCAGCTTAGCAATTAGCAGATGGTTTTCACAAGTTCACACAACTACTTGTATTCAGTTCTACTTTTTTGCTTTGAAGGAGATAGCTAAGCGTATTTTCATAAAGTTCTGGACAAGAGAATCCAGATGTTTAATCTAAGTGAGAAAAATTACCTGGGTCTAGTCAACCAGTGCGACCCATGGGCAGAAGTAATGTTCTGCCATCTCACCATCAATGTGCTTAGTATATCTTATCTGTGCTGATGGTAAACTGCTGTCCTAGAATAAGTTACAGGTGTTTGTTCAAGGAAGTTGGAAAACCCCAAGATGAAATAAATATCTACTAAACTCACCTTTCATTTATGATTCATTTGCAAAATTTCTATAAGTCTGAATAGCATGAAAGGTAGATCAGGAAATTCAAATATTACAAGACCCACAAAAAGTCTATTTATAGCTGTAGGATATGGAGCCAGCAAATTTGATTTCCTTGACTCACTTCAGTCACCCCACCTAGATTCTGATACTACTAACACTTTATTTTTAAATATAGCTATTATGATAATTCCTAGAACTATATAGATTAGCAATAAATTCTAACAAAACATAAAATATTAAATAACTTCTGGTGTTTTAAGTATTCCTGGAGAAAGAAAAAAGTTTTTGTTTTTCTTACAACCTCCTGAAAAATATTTACATCAGGCTAGACAGTATCCATAGACTAGATGACATCCTATTAGGAAGTTTGTAGTCTTAACTATATATACATTTAACGCCATAAATTTACTTTGCTTTTCTAACCTTACAACCATATTACATACTAATGCAGGGAAGTGAGTTACTGGTAGAATCATCAAATGAACATCACTGAAGCAACTAAAGAGATACAGAGGAAGTAAAGTCTCGTAGCTTTGGAAGTGAACTTTTTCTATTTGTATAGAGGACTCATTCGATAAGGAGCAAGTAGTCGTATTGTGTGTGGGCTTTGATACCACAGCAAGATGAGGTATGTTCTGTCACCATTTTTGGCAGCCATTTTATTTAACTCATCACAAGGCAAAGGTCTTCAGAATAGAGACAGTATCTTTTATATAATCTGACAAAGTGTAGCATATGTAAAAGTACCATGGATTTATGAGTAAGGATGATGATCTGGTTGGCAAATCTAAGAGTCTCTTATTTCTTCCACTTCCTCACCCCATGGTGAAAACACCAAATTGTACTGAATGTCAGGAAAGCAGAGCACCTCTCCCCCTGTGGGCTCCCCTGGTGGCTTGGTGGTGAAGAATCCACCTGGCCAGTGCAGGAGACATCGGTTTGATATCTGGGTCGGGAAGATCCTCTGGAGAAGCCAGTGGCAACCAACTCCAGGATTCTTGCCCAGGAAATCCCATGGATGAGAAACTTGGCAGGCTACAGTGCATGGAGTCACACAGAGTCAGACACATCTTAGCGACTAAACAACAACTCTCTACCCTGTGGTGGGTTAATGGATGTTTTATTGGAGAATAAATATAACTGTAGCTAGGCCAGGGCATGGTATGCTGAAGGAATGCAGAGCAGAACAGTGCCACAGATCTAATGGTAACAAATCTGCATGGATTCCCACCTCTCCTGTAGGGGACATGGTTATATAGCAGAAATATATTACTCAGAATGTCATCCAAGATAATCAGCTGTAGCTTTTGAAGAATGCAGATTTTCAGTTCTTATCCCCAGATATACTGATTCAGGATCCGTGGGGACAATGCCCAGGAATGGGCATATTTCCTGCCTCTCCAGGTGATTTTGATGCTTCCTAAAATTTGAGCTTTATTGATGGAGCATGTATTTGACTGAAGCAGAGACTCTAGAGAAAGACTATATATATCTGTTTTCCAATCATGATTAGCCAGGTGGGAGGGAGGGTCTGTAATATCAAAAACCTTAAGTAACAATGAGAGTTGAATACCATTAACACCATCATGGAGAAAAGACAGAGATTCTGGAAAAAATGCATATATGCTAGAAAATCAGAATAATGTTATTTAGTGAGCCTTAAAAATGAAATTCTACGTTGTGAGTGCATTTAATCACATTTGAAATGACTGTGATAATTGCAGAGAAATATGTACGTGGCAACTCTTAGGTCAGCAGTGTGCTTATCTTTAACACAGGCTCTGCAGGATGCCTTGAGAATGGAGTGCTCTCCATCTCTTGAGGACTGTTCAGGGAAGTCCGAAGTGGAGTGCAGCCGCGAGGAGATGCAAACAGAAATGGAAGTTCTCAAACAGCAGGTGAGAAGCTAGACGGGGAGCAGTCTTGTGGAGAACTTTGGGCCTGTTGCTCCTGTGCTGTTTTGACATTTCTAAAGGTCCTGCTTTTCACACGGCGTCAAAGGTTTTTGCATGTATTTAATTATAGTTACCTAATTTTAAAGCTTTATGGGAAAATTTAGATCAGCTAGTCCAACTCTCACACTTTATGAAAAAGAAAATTGAATTTCAGATGGGTTGAATGGCTTGCCCAAGAGCACACAACTTAAAAGAAGGGCATGCTAATTAACCTTTTAGTGAAATTCCATTAGCACTGGTTCCAGAGATTTTCATGCAGACACAATTTATTTTGAAGACACTATTAACCCAAACTCTGGAACTTTTCAGAAAATGGTAGCAGCTGGGCTGCTCCTCCGTAGCTGCAGACCTTCCAGGCTTTGAAACAATGAGGGCAGTTTTAAAGGGAATAGTCTGCACTGATCACAGAAGAGGCAAGTCTGTTTATCTACTCCCACATATGGATGGCACTGCCTAGGAATTTACTGATGAGTTCCGGCTTCCTCCTTCCCACCCACCCTGCTTCACTCACTGTTGCCAAGTACACAGCAAGAGTCAAGGACGCTCTAATAAGCTCATGCATGCATCAGTGGCATAGGGCTAGGGGACATAGCACTGCCTAACTACTGGAGCCTAAACTTAGTTCATCTGGCTGGAACTGGCTTAGCCAAGGGGCCACTGGAGCATATCACATCTCTTTTCCTATGAGAGATAAAATGAATATAGGTAAAAATATTAGTAAAAAATATAGGTAAAAATATTAGTAAAAAACTAATACAGGTAAAGGGCTGGAACAGTTCAAGGTGATATTGATAAATACAGGAATTCCAATCCTCGAGGCACACATTGTTGGTGATATATTAACAATGGCAGGTTGCGGGGCAGGAAGTCATAGAACAAAGGGTGGAAATGTATTATTTTCTGATGTCCCTGGGAGTAACTTGTTGGCTGTTTGGCTCTGAGCAAGTGCCAATTACAAGGAATCTTGATGCAATACATAGAAGAATTGGGCAACTGTGATATTGTTATTTACGTTACTCTTATTACTTCATAGGATGTAACCTATTTATAAATCTAAAATATCCAGAGCATTTGACATAAAGTTGGATTTTTTTCTTCTATCAACTCCATTTGAATACTGTGCTTCGTTACATCCAGGATCAAATATACAGCTTAAAAATAAGCCCATGGAGAGAATAAGGGTATAGTCAGAGTGTTAAAACTCTGCCAGATTCTCAACCCCTGAAGTATCATTGGCACAAGCCAGGATTCCTCTGAATAAAGGACTGCTTATGTTCAGACACTTGAGTCATCTTCATTGCTCTCACATAATGTAAATTCCATGCAGGAGAGTTGCTCTTACATGCAGTGTTTACAGTAATGGTTTAGTTTGTACTTGATAGAGACAGTGGCAAGTATTCTTTTTTTCATAACCCCTAAGAGTAGACCAGAATTCATCTCCTTCATTTTTGTATGGCCCTTTTGCTAGCTTTCTGCATTCACATTTTAACTGTGCACATTTCTAACTGGGTACCTACAATCATTACACCACCAAGTGCTGTGTGAAACTCTAGAGGATTTAAGTTCACAAAGAAACTGAGCTTGAATTGGCCACCTAAGTGATGACATTGCTAGAAGTGTGTTCTGTTCTAATCAATGGGCTTCTCACACTTCAGTTGCCTCTGGTAATTGTTTATTAATTCTACATGGATTAAACTGTATCTGTGCCTTTGGATCGCCACTCTCAACCAAAAAAAACCACCAACACCAGAAAACAAAATGTCAGCTTGGCTGCGTATAGTTCCTTTGCAATGCTTTCGATGAAGAAAGGCTTGAAATTAAATATGTATATCTGCTTATAGAGCTATATAATATGTTTCTTTTTTTCCTTCCTTGCCTATTATACTTTGTTCTATTATTATTAACTTAAACTTGATAATCCTTTGGTTAAAATTTGTTGCACTGTTGGTAATGATGGTGCAATGTGATTTAGCATTAACAGACAAACATCTAACTAGTAGGTTCTCATGTAAGTTATAATTTAAATCTAGTTTTAGAGAAATTCCTTTGCTGCATTCCTTAAGCTTCATTTGTTTTCATAACTCCACATTCTAGTCTCCAAGCCACCAATCAACACTATGCCAATTAAAACAAACAATAATTAAATCTGTTCCGGGGCAGGGTTGTTTTGATTACTTTTCTACAATATTTGGAGTACCTCTTAAGAGGCATCCCACTAAAATGTTCCTCTTTTTTATGATAAACACCCAGAGTTACTTATAAAGGGCAACTCTGGTGAATGTCCTTTAACAAAATCCCTTGCTTTCCCACATACATGAGCCTTTCATTTTTAACTTGTGCCCAACTTATAATTTCTGTTTAGAAACTTTGACATGTCAGTATTCAGTGGCTTTGCTTAGGTATTGTCAGTAAACTGACAAGAATTTCAAGCAATATTTATATGTCAAAGCCTTGTTTTAGAGATGAATGATTTGCTCCAAAACAGTGACACTGAACATTGACGGAGTCAGGGGGGTCAAGGTTTCCTCACAGTCGTGTAATATGCGATAGAAATATTGGTGAGGGGAAGTTTTTTCAAAATATCCATGAATTTACTTATGAATTACTGATATGTGCTCAATGAGAAAAAAGGTGAGCAAGTGCCATTCTAAGCAAACTAAAAGACAAAATTATAGTCACAGGGTATAAAAATATAGTCACAGGTATCAAGATGGAGTCCCACCATAAAGAAATATTCATGAAAAGAGGACATCCATGTCTCAGATTGGACAAACCCAGACAGCATCCCTTCTGAACTCATTTAAATAGCTTAAGAGAAAAGGAAGCTAGCAGTAACAGCATGTTAATATTTCCTAGGTGCAAATATATGAAGAAGACTTCAAAAAGGAGCGATCAGACCGAGAAAGACTTAATCAAGAAAAAGAGGAGCTACAGCAAATTATTCAGACTTCTCAATCCCAGTTGAACAGGCTGAATTCTCAGGTATAAGTTCAAATAAGCTTTGCCAGCACATATGTATTTTATATTTATTTTCTCATTAAAAAATCAAGACATTTAGACTTCTGTTAATGGCCATTTTTTTTTTGAGAGATTAGCATCTGGGATGAAATCAGTTGTAAACAATTTTGTAAAGAGATGAAAATGACTGGAGATTCCTTTTAACTTAAGTATATTAAGGAGTTATCCAAGAAATTGGATTCCAAAGTCTTTTACAAAATCCAATTCTTTTGATCTTTTTTCTCATAATATTTATCTTGGTAGAATGAGAGTTGGAACTAAATAGCACTTAAATTCAAAGCTGAAACACTCCAATACATTGAAGTTGTTTCTAAATTCTTACCATTTTTCTTTGAAGGACTACATTGGAATGTTCCTATCTTCCAAAAACATGCATAATGAATGTCATTTATATATCTAGTGAGACTAAGAATTTTGTTCAGTGGGTTCCCAGATTTAATGTAACTGGAGCGCTCTCAAGGAAGCCAGATAATGTAAGCCACTTTATTAGAACAAAATATTAACTATAAGCATGCTAAAATTAAGTGCAATAAATTTATTAAACGTAGACTCAAGAAGTTGCCATAATGGGTAAATATTGATGTTAACGAGGGAAATATAGCTAACACAATTTAGGCTTAAGAAAAGAAAAGGAACCACCAAATTTTTAATTTGCAAAATTATGAAGTGTGTTTCAATAAATAGGAAATCATTGTGAGACATGCTTGACAGCTCCATAAGCTCAATATTCTTAGTCTCAGAGGAGGTTTTAAACTTTTTGTCATACTCTTCTTCCTAATACAAAGTAGATTGTGAAATAAATTCAGTTTCTTCTTTGACATCTTTTTTAAGGATTAACTTTAAATTCCTAATTTCACATGGAAAATTATTTGGAACAACCATTTCCTTTCTAAGAAATTGGAAGAAATAAAATAATGGTAAAAACATAATAAAATGCTTTTTCCGAAAGTAATTCATGCAACCTACTTTTACAACAATGGGTGAAAAATGTTCTGATCTTAGCAAATTGCTCTCAATTTTTATGTCTTACATGCAAAACTGTCTTAATTTCTTTGAACTTGTCACTGCACAGATCATTTTATTTCCTGCCGTATTTTAATTTTATTCATTCTACTACATTAAATAAGATTGATGATAAGTATTTACCTAAATTGGCAATGTTCTTCCCATTATAGAAACTCTAGTACAGCTAGAAACACACAATCATCTAGTTATGTTATAGACTATAATCCACAGTCATTTTCTGTGTCATCTGTAATTTTTGTTTGATATCAACAAAATGAATGTGTTGTCTAATCACAGTGCTGTATAACTGTGCTTATGAACTAAAGGAGGATCTTAGTAATATGTTAAAATTACCAAAATTTTCTTTATAATGATACTGCAAGCCTTTATTCTTCTCATTTATTCAGGTAAAAGTATGATAGAATTCACAACATGTAATAGATGGTGTAACAAGCTGTGTTAAATGTATTAACAGCAGATTAAATGCCATAATATAATAGAGTACTTATTTGAGTAGTATATTACCTGTGGTCCAAACGGACCACTTGACCAAAGGAATTTTTAGGTCAAATCAATCTGGTCCTAGTTGCTTACATACCAGAGTGTATTTCCTCCTATCACTGAGGACGGTGATTCCTCCTATCATTTAAGGCAATGATTGGTAAAAAATAGTCAGTGTGGCAAAGTGAAAGATACTTAGGAGAAATCTAAGGATAAAAAAGTCTGATGTTCATGCCTGCTTTAACAGTTGGTGAGGACCTTGAGTAAATATTGAACTTTTTTCTGTACTTCCTTTTCTCCATCTGTAAAATGATAAAATTGAATTATATGATCTCTAAAACGTTTCATATAACTCCAAAACTTCTGTCTATAAAATAAGTTGCTTGACTTCTCTCACCATATACGTGCTAAGTCGCTTCAGTTGGGTCCGATTCTTGGTGACCCTGTGGGCTGTAGCCCGCCAGGCTCCTCTGTCCATGTCTTCTCGAGGCAAGAATACTAGAGTGGGCTGCCATGCTTTCCTCCAAGGAATCTTCCCAACCCAAGGACCAAATCTGAGTCCCTTCAGTCTCCTGCATTAGCAGGCAGGTTCTTTACCACCACCATACTCACCTGTAAAATATGATACTTGCCTTATGACTTCACAAGGCTATTCTCAGGATTAAGTGAAAAAAAAACAAAACCTATTCAAAAACATCCAGCCCAAGTCGTGGCTCACAGGTATTTCATAAACAGTTTATTGGAAGGAAGAATTTATGATAGTTTCATTTACTTTTATAATTAGCCTGCCACATTCAGTGCCTCATGATATATAATTTTGATGCTTTCTTTCGGCAAGGCATTCTGCTATATGCTGTGAAGGAACTAAAAAATAATCCATGCTATGAAAATTCCCACAGTATAGTGAGGGGAACTCATACAGTCCGTCCTCATCATTTGCAGGTTCCAATTTTGTGAATTCACCTACTCACTAAAATATATTTGTCACTCCAAAATCAATTCTTGGACCACGTTTAAGTTCATTTGTGAACTTGCAGAGAGCAGCAAAATACTTGAGCCTCCTAACACAATTTATTCCCAGTGGAAGTCCAAAAGGTGTTGCTGCCTTCTTCTTTCAGCTCTCATACTGTAAAAAGTGTTCTTTTCATGGTCTATTTAGTGCCACATTTTTCACATTTCTGAGCTTTTTGTTGGCAATTTCATTTTCTAATGGCCCTCAAGCTAGTGCTGAAGTGATACCCAGTGTTCCTAAGTGCAGAAAGGCTGCAGACTGCCTAATGGAGAAGATATGTGTCAGATAAGCTTCATTCAGGGATGAATATAATGCTACTGTTTACGGATCTATAATACTTACTAAATTTCATGGCAAGTAGATGGGGAAACAATGGGAACAGTGACAGACTTTATTTTCTTCACCTCCAAACTCACTGCAAATTTCATGCAGACATGAAATTAAAAGACCCTTGGTCCTTGGAAGAAAAACAATGACAAACCTGGGCAGCATATGAAAAAGCAGAGACATTACTTTGCCTACAAAGTCCATATAGTCAAAGCTATGGTTTTTCCAGTAGTCATGTACAGATGTGAGAGCTGGACAATAAAAAAAGCCTGAGTGCCGAAGAATTGATGCTTTTGAACTGTGGTGCTGGGAAGACTCTTGAGAATCCCTTGGACTGCAAGTATTGACAGTAGTCAATACCGAAGGAAATCAACCCTGAATATTCTTCGGAAGGACTGATGCTGAAGCTGGAGCTCCAATACTTTGGCCACCTGATGTGAAGAGTTGACTAATTGGAAAAGACCCTGATGCTGGGAAAGATTGAAGGCGGGAGGAGAAGGGGATAACAGAGGATGAGATGGTTGGATGGCATCACTGACTGAATGGATAGGGAAGCCTGGCATGCTGCAGTCCATGGGGTCCCAAAGAGTCAGACACGACTGAGTGACTGAACACCAAATAAGGTATCTTTAACAGAAACACACATAAAACAAGATTATATATTGACTGATTAACAAAAATTGCAAGACCAGAGGCTGGTAGGAACCTAAGCCTGCATTTCCCTGGGAGCAATGATTCAGTGTTTACTACTTCCAGTGTTCATGGTTACTTTATAGAATATAACTAAAAAATAAATAAATAAATAAGAAGAATATAACTGCTTTGAATCATGAGAATCGACTGAACATAGTACACACTGGAGTACAAAAAGCCATGTAATAAATGTAAGACCCTATATGGGAGGACCAAAGGAGAGAATCTTTAATTCAGTTTTCTGGTGATGGGCAGGGCCGTGGATTAAACATTTACTGAGCATGGCCCCGCCCATCAGAACAAGACCCAGTTTCCCCCTCAGTCAGTCTCTCCCATCAGAAAGCTTCCATAAGCCTCTTACCCTTCTCCATCAGAGGGCAGACAGAATGAAAACCACAGTCATAGAAAACTAACCAATCTGATCACATGGACCACAGCCATGTCTAACTCTGTGAAACTAGGAGCCATGCTCTGTAGGGCCACCCAAGACGGATGGGTCATGGTGGAGAGTTCTGACAAAACGTGGTCCACTGGAGAAGGGAATGGCAAGCCACTTCAGTATTCTTGCCTTGAGAACCCCATGAACAGTATGAAAATGGAAAAAGATAAGACACTGAAAGATGAACTCCCCAGGTTGGTAGGTGCCCAGTATGCTCCTGGAGATCAGTGGAGAAATAAATCCAGGAAGAATGAAGACATGGAGCCAAAGCAACAATACCACCCAGTTGTGGATGGAAGTAAAGTGATGGAAGTAAAGTCCAATGCTATAAAGAGCAATATTGCATAGGAACCTGGAACGTTAGGTCCATGAATTAAGGCAAATTGAAAGTGGTCAAACAGGAGATGGCAAGAGTGAACATCGACATCTTAGAAATCAGCAAACTAAAATGGAATGGAATGAGTGAATTTAACTCAGATGCTCATTATATCTACTGCTGTGGGCAAGAATACGTTAGAAGAAATGGAGTAGCCATCATAGTCAACTAAAGGGTCCAAAATGCAGTACTTGGATGCAATCTCAAAAACGAGAGAATGACCTTTGTTTATTTCCAAGGCAAACCATTCAATATCACAGTAATCCAAGTCTATGCCCCAACCAGCAATGCTGAAGAAGCTGACGTTGAGTGGTCCTATGAAGACATACAAGACCTTCTAGAACTAACACCCAAAAAAGATGTCCTTTCATTATAGGGGACTGGAATGCGAAAGTAGGAAGTCAAGAAGTATGTGAAGTAACAGGTAAGTTTCGCCTTGGAATAGAGAAGGAAGCAGGGCAAAGACTAATGGAGTTTTGCCAAGAGAACACACTGATCATAGCAAACACCCTCTTCCAACAACACAAGAGAAGACTCTACATATGGACATCACCAGATGGTCAATACTGAAATCAGATTGATTACATGCTTTGCAGCCAAAGATGGAGAAGCTCAATAAAGTCAGCAAAAACAAGACTGGGAGCTCACTGTGGCTCAGATCGTGTACTCCTTATTGCCAAATTCAGACTTAAATTTAGGAAAGTAGGGAAAATCACTAGACCATTCAGGCATGACCTATATCAAATCCCTTACAATTATACAGTGGAAGTGAGAAATAGAATCAAGGGACAAGATCTGATAGGCAGAGTGCCTGATGAACTATGGACAGAGGTTCATGACATTGTACAGGAGGCAGGGATCAAGACCATCCCCCAAAAAAAGAAATGCAAAAAGGCAAAATGGCTGTCTGAGGAGGCCTTACAAGTAGCTGAGAAAAGAGAAGTGAAAGGCAAAGGAGAAAAGAAAAGATATACCCATTTGAATGCAGAGTTCCAAAGAATAGCAAGGAGAGATAAGAAAGCCTTCCTCAGTGATCAATGCAAAGAAATAGAGGAAAACAATAGAATGGGGAAGAATAGAGATCTCTTCAAGAAAATTAGAGATACCAAGGGAATATTTCATACAAAGATGGGCTCATTAAAGGACAGAAATGGTATGGACCTAACAGAAGCAGAAGATATTAAGAAGTGGCAAGAATATACAGAAGAACTATACAAAAAAGATCTTCACAACCCAGATAATCATGATGGTATGATCACTCACCTAGAAGCAGACATCCTGGAATGCAAAGTCAAGTGGGCCTTAGGAACCATCACTATGAACAAAGCTAGCAGAGGTGATGGAATTCCAGTTGAGCTACTTCAAATCCTAAAAGGTGATGCTGTGAAAGTGCTGCACTCAATATGCCAGAAAATTTGGAAAACTCAACAATGGCCATAGGACTGGCAAAGGTCAGTTTTCATTCCAATCCCAAAGAAAGACAGTGCCAAAGAACGTTTAAACTACCACACAACAGCACTGATCTCACACGCTAGCAAAGTAATACTCAAAATTCTCCAAGCCAGGCTTCAACAGTACATGAACCAAGAACTTCCAGATGTTGAAGCTGGATTTAGAAAAGGCAGAGGAACCAGAGATCAAATTGCCAACATCCATTGGGTCATAGACAAAGCAAGAGAGTTCCAGAAAAACATCTATTCTTGCTTTATTGACTATGCCAAAGCCTTTGACTGTGTGGATCACAACAACTGTGGAAAATTCTTAAAAACATGGGAATACCAGGCCACCTTACCTGCCTCCTAAGAAATCTGTATGCAGGTCAAGAAGCAACAGTTAGAACAGGACATGAAAGAACAGACTGGTTCCAAATTTGGAAAGGAGTATGTCAAGGCTGTATATTGTCACCCTACTGATTTAACTTATATGCAGAGTACATCATGAGAAACGCTGGGCTGGAAGAAGCACAAGCTGGAATCAAGATTGCCAGGAGAAATATCAATATCCTCAGATATGCAGGTGACACCAGCCTCATGGCAGAAAGCAAAGAAGAACTAAAGCGTCTCTTGATGAAAGTGAAAGAGGAGAGTGAAAACTTTGGATTTAAACTCAACATTCAGAAAACTAAGATCATGGCATCCAGTCCCATCACTTCATGGTAAATAGATGGGGAAACAATGGAAACAGTGACAGAGTTTATTTTGGGGGGCTTCAAAATCACTGCAGATGGTGACTGAAGCCATGAAATTAAAATATGTTTGCTCCTCAGAAGAAAAGCTATGACCAACCTAGATAGAATATTAAAAAGCAGTGACATTAGTTTGCCAACAAAGTCCGTCTAGTCAAAGCTATGGTTTTTCCAGTAGTCATGTATAGATGTGAGAGTTAGACTATAAAGAAAGCTGAGCACAGAAGAATTGATGCTTTTGAACTGTGGTGTTGGAGAAAACTCTTGAGAGTCCCTTGGACTGCAAGGAGATCCAACCAGTCCATCCTAAAGGAGATCAGTCCTGGGTGTTCATTGGAAGGACTGATGCTGAAGCTGGAACTCCAATACTTTGGCCACCTGATATAAAGAACTGACTCATTTGCAAAGACCCTGATGCTGGGAAAGATTGAGGGCAGGAGGAGAAGGGGATGACAGAGGATGAGATGGTTGGATGGCATCACTGACTCAATGGACACGAGTTTGAGTAGACTCCAGGTGTTGGTGATGGGCAGGGAGGCCTGGCATGCTGCAGTCCATGTGGTCACAAAGAGTTGGACACGACTGAGAGACTGAACTGAACTGAACTGAAAGGAGAGAATAATGCCATAGGTGGGACTTGGAAAGGTATCATAGGGCTCAGATGGTAAAGTATCCACCTGCAGTGCAGGAGACCTGGGTTCAATCCCTGGGTTGGGAAGATCCTTTCAAGAAGAGAATGGCTATCCATTCCAATATTCTTGCCTGGAAATTTCCAGGGATAGAGGAGCCTGGTGGGCTTTAGTCAATGAACTCGCAAACAATCGGACATAACTGAGTGGCTAACATTTTCACTTCAGGGATGACAACAGCATGACTAAGGAGTGCAAGAAAAACCAGCTTTCCTTAGATGTGTCAGATGTTGGGAGAACTCAGGGGAGGTGACTCTGCCAGATGAAGTATAACAGTGTGACTTTGAACAAGTTACTCAGCATCTCATACCTCAGTGACCTCTTCTGTAAAATAGGAGTAATAATTTTAAGTGTCATTTAGGGGTATTGGAGGCTTGAATGTGAGTTTTTAAGTGTAAAGCACTTAGATCAGTGTCTGGCATGTATTAAATGCATATGCAACTTCTAAAATTTATTGTGGAAGCTTTTGACTATACAGTTGACTGTACAATTACATTTAATAAGCAGTAGAAGCTATTTCTATACCCACATCTATGTCTCTATCTGCATCCACACCTAGAGCTAAATACATCAACCTAAAACAGAATTGCAGTGGTCCCAATAATTGGGAATAACAATTTTTAAATATCCAACTTTGCAAACTTCATTTGGATATTTCACGATAGAACCAATTTATGCCTGGAAAATCCAAAACTCAACTATTTTTATTGGCATTATTGTTATCAGGGCTTCACCCCCTGGATTTCTGAGCAGATCCCTGCCAACTGGGCCAGGAGTTGCTTTAAGACATCTGCTGTTTCTGATACACAAATGCTTTCATCTTGTCCACAGATAAAAGCTTGTCAGATGGAGAAAGAAAAACTAGAGAGGCAAGTAAAACAGGTATGTTGATCCTTACTCACAACTTTCTTGTCATGTTAGAAATGCCGAGTCTGAGTTTTACTCACATTTATTCTCCAATTAAAGGGATCCCAATTAATTGGGTCCCAATTAAAGGCAAATTCTTGTTCTGCTACAGAGGGCCTAGGACAACTCAAGCATTTCATTATCAGCTGAAATGTCAGTGGAGAGATAGGCACCAAGGCCTCTCGACCCTAACACTCAAGAAAAGCACATGCTTTACAGAATATGTTTCAACAGGAGCACACACCTTAGTGTGGGTTCATGCAGATAGAAGTTTCTTCATAGACTACAAATACCTGAGAAATATATTTCCTTGATAGTTCATACAGTTGCTTACACCAACAATGGAAAACTACATGAAAGACTTCTGCCTTCTTTTGAGAAAGAATATCTTCTTGGGCATTAGAGCATTCCATTCCATTGATTCTCTAGTAGACTTAGGAATGAATATTATTTCTCTTAATTCCTAATTTCCTCTCCTGACATTAGTTATGTCATTGGAGTCTCTGGCTGCAGTTTAAGAAAATTTGTTTTATGACTTAAATATTGGTTCTTCTTAAGTGAGGATTCTGTGAAGATAACTCAGAAACATAAAGTTAACTATATATACATTTTCAAGTATTTTTAGTATCTTCAACATGGAAAAATAACTATAGTTTCACTTTGAATAATTGGCCTGTGGCTTCATCTATCTCTGTATCTGCATTGACAGACCTCCTATCTTGAATTTGGATTATGCCAGATTTAGGCTAAACCTTAAGATTTCAACCAAACCTCAGGGTTGTATAAAGCAAGGGTCAGTGTGACTCCCCAGGGGGCATCTGCTTTCGGTGAACTAACAGCACTCTTCTCCTCAGATGTATTTCCCAACCTGTAACTGCGGCTGGAATTTCCACCTGAGGGATCCATACCTACTGATGGGCCCTAGGGCTGTGCAGGTCCCACAGAAGTACCCAGTAAGTAGGAGCTTTCATTCCAACAATTAAGTGCTTATGTCTCTAATAAGAGCTAATACTCTCTTTTGGTAGAAATGATGTCTGTCTCTGGAATACTGGCACATATTATTTTCTACATAAAGAGCCTTATTTGTCTTAGCCTTTGATTTGCACAGTTACAGTGGTCAATGTACACTCTAAGTATCTTTGGAACCCTGCATCTACAGGACATATAGATATGAATACATTCACTGAAAGGTATCAAATTGAGCTAAAATTCCATGAACAAACATACCATTTGATATGGGTCATTTTTAATGACACACCTGACTCTACCAAAGAAGACATTTCTGTGTATAAAGAAAAGCAAAATGAACATAACAAAACAGTCTGGGAGATACCTTTTTCAGTTGTAAACTTATATTCAACTACTGTGAATATGGTTACATCTATGCAAAATAGTCTTTGACATTTTCCAATTGAAAGGGTATTCTTAAAGGATTCAAGAAAAAGTGACCCACTTAAGTTGCTTTCTATGGCTGTGTCTACCCAGGCAAAATGAAGTGAACAGTGAGGCAATTATTTGTGAGTGGAATTGATTTGAACAGTCAACCTGAATAAGTCAGACCCAAAACACCCTCCCTTTCCTTCTCAATGGCAGTATTCCACCCACCCTCCCCCATGGTCTGGAAATTTGTCTCTATTCTCTATTTTGCCTACATAGAATCATTATGCAGGAAATAAATCATGCGTTTTTCTTCATTTTGGATTGGCTCAGACAGTCTCTTTTCCCTTAGTTATTATTAACCATATTTCTGATTATGCAAAGAATCTGAAACTTTAACTGGGATTTTCCTAGGAGAACAGTCAAGGAGTACAGAGTTGCCTGAAACTTCTCACACTTTTGTATTTGAATGTGACTCAAAAAGCCCTTTTCCAAGAGAGGAGATAATTACTCTTTCGGTGGCAGCAGGATGTCAGAATTTAATGAGCATCTCTTATTTGACCCTGGTGTGACACAGTGCACAGATGAGAATTTGGTTCTTTCTGTGTTGCTGTTGACTGCTGCTTCTGTCTGCTCTCCCCCCTCCATTTTTTTTCTTTACCTGTTTACTTATTTTCTTTTCATTAGAAACACTTCTGGGAATCTCCAAACATAGCTATCATTCTAAATTTTTTTTTTTAGAATATAGAAGGAAATTAATATTTTGGGAAACATAAAGAGATAAAAATTTACTAAGGAGTTTAGTTGTCTACAGGTTAGGGAATTGGGGGGGAAATGCTCTTTTGGAAAGTTAACTAGAAAACCAATGAGTCATTCAAATTTGCCTGGAAGTAAGAATGACTGTTTACTTCAAATCTTCAAAAAGGCAGAAATTCACCAACTTGAGTTTTTTTCTATCAATTATAAGCAATAAGGCAGTCCAGATCACATAAAATTGTCACCAAATAAAGGTCTGTATTTGAAACCAGACTCCAAGTCATGTAATGGCTACATTTTCAAGCAGTATTCAGTTAGACAAAATGTCAGTATAAGGATAAAAATTACAGAAACTCCTAGAGTTCATTTTAAAAGAATATTTCATGTTTCATGCTTATTTCTAAGCCTGAATTAAAGTCCATGCAGTAGTGTTTGTAAAATTATGATATATTCAACTTCTTTTGGCAGCTGTCCTAGAATATAAAACTGAGGCTCACGTCACTTATCCAGTGTTATTTGAGACATCTAAAAATAAATGAGGAGATGAAAAACAGAGATGATCTCATATCCTCTTTTAGTTTTTCATGTACCAAAAGGAGCCAAGAGCCTAGGTGTCTGAGTGAAGGTAAAGAGGAGTCAGGCTGCCCCAGATCCAGTATTTCTTAGCGTCTTGTCAGGAATTGAAATTTTAGGCTACTTTTAGTGGTCTGGCAGCCCTGTAAAATGCTCCCTATTGGCTGGTTGTTAGAAAAAAATGTTCCTGAGTTATTTTCAGGTGGTAATTGAATAATAGAACAAAAGCTTTATATTCACTATGTCTTGGGGACAGAGGTAGAGGAGCAGGAAGACAGACCAGCCTCCTGGGTGGGTAAAGCTGAGACCACTCTGTTCTAAGTGGGTAAATACAGATATTCTGGCCTTGGACCTATATTTTGAAATTCAGGTCTATAGTTTATATTTTGTTTGTCTGCGCTCAGTCATGTCCAACCCTTTGCAACCCCATGGGCTGTAGACACCAGGCTCCTCTGTCCGTGTAATTTTCCCAGCAAGAACACTGGAGTGGGTTGCCATTTCCTCCTCCAGGGGATCTTCCCAACCCAGGGATCAAACCCACATCTCCTGCATCTCCTGAATTGGCAAGCAGATTCTATACTACTTGATCCACCTGGGAAGCCCATAGTTTATATTTATTTCAACACAATTCATTTGACAGTTTTCCTGAGGTTCAATATCTAGCTGTTCTTAATTGGCGTATATCTAGGAGAAATCCCAAGAGAAGAATCCCAGTGTGCCCTGTCTTCTCACTGCCTCTCTAGTCTAAACTATCTAAGCAACTTAGGACAGTTTCTGCAGAGGAACAGTACAAAAGGAAAGTTTTTTCCCTGCTTTAGCATCCTGAGCCTCTTTAAGCCATGTCCTCCTGGCTGAGATTTCTTCCTTGGACCACTGGAAAACATTCAACTTGTACATTTTTGTCTTGGTCTTCCTGTTACCTCCTGTGTGAGGGTTTTAAAAAAGAGCATTTGTTGATGATAAATTCTTTTGTTTTATTTATGGGCTATAGTAAGTTTTTACAAATGTGTTTATACTTCTGCACATATTCAAAACACATCTGTTTCAAAAAAAAAAGTCAAAATCCCAAATTCTGACTGAACACTAAGTGGATTTAGGAGGGGGGTAGGTAGGGAGATGATAACAGTGATCAGGGAGATAAGAGGACAACAGGTTTGGGTAGCAACTACTTTTGTGTTGCCTGGGTAATAAAGCCACATAGGATAGCTATATCTTTAATGTGCCGCTGTGTTTGGTTTGCAGCCCATATTGCTATAATAATGTTTTATTGTTCCACACAGCCAGACTACCAGTGGTATGCTCCTGACCAGTTTCCGCCAGATGTGCAGCACAAGGCAAATGGTAAGACCACAGCTGGATTGAGCATTCTTTCATGTTTACATTTTAATAGGATCTTTGGGGGGATGTTTACTCGACATGCATTCACTTGGACTTGGGGAGGAGCCCCTATAATGTTGTGTTGCATACACAACTCTAATGTGATGCGCCTGGAGTTAAATCAAACTCCTTTAGAAAAAGAAAATGCTCGAGTGCAGAAATGCTTGGCTCTCAGTCCTGACTTCTGTTCCTATTCTGTCTCAGAGTCAGTATTCCATCTGGGGTTAGAGATTCCAGCAGGGCTCTGTTATAACAACAACAGCAAAGTTCCATGATTCTGCTACAAAGTTCAGACACACATCACTCTTTCATGTTGAGGTTGCTAGACAGACGTTTCAAGTGTCACTGGCAGACAGAGGAAACCAAAAGCTCAGGGCCATGTTCCCTAATGATTAAATGTCAGACTCCAAGTTTAGGCCAGAGTTGCCCACAACACCCACTCTTAAGTGTGCTGGACAACAGTAAAAAGTCTCTTGCAAAGTGCTCACAAATAAGAATACTCTTTTGTCTTATTTTTCTCTGGTTTATCACACTCCTCTTTCTTTTCAGAACCTGCTAGACATTCTGTTGCTTTATTCTCTGCTCTCGTGAGGCCACCCAGAAGTGGGCTGCATAAACTGGGCTATAATCATAACCCCACTTCTGTTCTCATCACATGCAAGCAGAAGTCAGCCATGTCTGCTACATGCTTAAAAAAATCCCACGTGACACACACCTGTAGCTCTTTAAGTTGTTAGTGTCCAGATATTGGAATCTATCTAGAAAAGCTGAAAATGAGCCATATTCCAGTTTTAGGCCATGCTTGAAATGTTTTCTCCTTTAGTTCATACCTGAAGTCACAGAATTCTAGTTTCTAGTACAAGGAGTCCAGTATGGAGTGGAAGTAGGGGGCCAGGGATACCATATGTAGTTTCTCCTGTTGGGAACGTCACAAGTCCAGGGGCTTTTCATGGTAGTCTACATAAATGGAACTTCCTACAGTTGTGCAGTACACAACCTTGACAGCTATACACAGAAGCAGTGGGAGTGGCAAAGGCCACAACTAGCAGTAGCATTATGGAGAAGAAAGATAAAAAGTGAGAACTCTATAATAAAATATCTATATATTTATCAAAAGACTGTAGTACTTTCTTTTTTCTTTTCTACTACTAATAGAACCATTGGCTTTAATAAAGTTCTTGGGTTCAAGTCTTAATGGAGAGCTTTTAACTGAAAGGCATGCTATTAACCATAATGGTTGTTGCATAATCTCTATGTTTTTGAAATCCATTATTATACAATAGCTGAGTTGCCACCCAATTATAATTTCCCATTTTATATTATATTGATCTGGAATGAATATTAAAGATATTTTCTCTTGAGTTGGAGTTTAATCACTAGACAGCAAATTATACAGTAGAAAATTCAATAATATCATAAAGCCATTTATACATCACTATTGTATTCATCTTGGACCAATATCATAGAACCTAATAACTATATAAAACAGGAATGATTATGATGACCTTCAGAAACTAAATAATAAGCAAATATATAGTTTTATAGTCAGTGTGTGAGACCTACTGATTTTTGTCTATTTGTTAAAAAATATAGAGCTTTGTGATGTAAAGCATGTTGTGCGACATGGTCTACAGATGCAAAATTACAATAAAAAATTAGCCTTTATTATGTAGCAACCTGAGTACTTTTAAAACATTGTTTTAATCTTCACAGCAATGCTATAAAGTGACCAGTTTACAGATGAGGAAACTGATTAGGAAGATTTAGCCCTGGAATTAGATTTCAGGTGTATTAAGACTTCAGAACCTGTGCTTTGAATCACATCCTATAGTGCCCTTGAAAACCTACCTCTCTCACTATATTAAAAATTTTCTAAAATGATATATATAAAAATGACGGGGTCTTATCTTGGATAGTTATGGGACTAGTACCTAACCCTCAATAATCTCCTCTTCCTAGGAAGTCATAACATGTATTATCTGTGCTTCTCATTTGACACTTAGATTGTCACAGGTAAAAGATATAGTACTAACTATGTAAGAATGTGCATAGTCGCTCAGTTGTGTCCGACTCTTTGCAACCCCACGGACTGTAGCCCACCAGGCTCCTCTGTCCATGTGGATTCTCCAGGCAAGAATACTGGAGTGGGTTGCCATGCCCTCCTCCAGGGGATCTTTGCAACTCAGGGATCGAACCCGGGTCTCTCACATTGTAGGCAGACTGAGCCACCAGGGAAGCCCACCTAAGAATAAGTGTGTAATAAATGTGTCATGAGCAGTCCTGGTGGAAACTGAAGGAATATTACCATTTGAAACCTGACCTCCATACCAACACAGCTCTGCACAACACAACTGTGGCTTGGCCATAGCAGGGGAAGGGACTGATCATGACTAGAGCACCATCATAGAGAGAAACTCCTTACTTAAAAATCTACCTGCTCCTCTTCTAGTTCCAAAGCTGATGCTATTTCCAAAGTCAAGCCAGGTCATGAGACTTGGCAGAAGCTCTGAAATCACACTGTCACAGACATTGCATGTACCATTAATTAATTTCAGTAGGGATTCTTGTTAGTTTTTGTTTCATTTAATTGGAAAGCTCCTTTTGCTTTGTAGATCCAACACAATTGCTCAGAATTCTTAAAAATAATTTTGTGGTATTGTTTTTAAAATATAGGTTTAAAAATCTTTTTATTATAAAGATATTTCCATTGTCTCATTACATGACTGATATATTTATTCTCCACTATTCAAGAATATAGTGCTAGTCAATATGGCCTGTGTTTGGGGCCAAAAATATCAAAATTCAAGCAGTGGAAAGAAAATTGAGTAGAAAAATGAGACTTTGATTTTGATAATCTATAAACAGAAACTATTTCTGAAAATTGCTCTAAGTTTTACTCATATAATAAATACTTTAAATATTTTATTTTTAAATAAAAAAGATCCTTTTAAAAATATGGATATTTAAATTAATGTTAATTAGTACATGTGCTTTATAGATTGTCCTAGTTCTCGGTTTTTATTAATTTCCTACAACTCATGACAAATCTATTTTTCTGACCCCAATATATGTAGGATATTTTTATCTTAGCATCTTCCTTTGTGATTCCTCTTATTATAATTTAACCTGAAATAGTGACTCTGATTTTTACACATAGAGCAGTAGCCTTCTGATTTTTCAAAGGTATAGTGGGTACAAAAGAAAGTGAAAGTGAAGTCGCTCAGTCGTGTCCGACTCTTTGTGACCTGTGGACTGTAGTTGGCCAGGCTCCTCTGTCCATGGGATTCTCCAGGCTAGAATACTGAAGTGGGTTGTCATGCCCTCCTCCAGGGGATCTTCCTGACCCAGGGATGGAACCCAGGTCTCCCACATTACAGGCAGACTCTACCATCTGAGCCACCAGGGAATCCCAAAGTATAGTTGATCTTCCTATTGATAAATGAAGCTGGAAGGCCAATGTCAACTTTAGGACCCTCAGATTTCAATCAGCTCTGTGCCAGAACACGCATGGAAAGACCTGGGCAGTGCCCCCACCCGAGCCCTCTCACCTTCCCCCGGGAGGGGTCTGGAGTGTGACTTTGAGAACAACCTAGCGGGCATATCCCAACTTCATCCATATACCCCTCACCACCCAACAACAGAAGAGGACCACGTGGGGCCTGGAAGCAGACCCAGGGTTGCCTGGCAGAGAATCTGTGGATCTGCTTGCGGGAGCGGGGGCTTGTTCTAAAGGGAGGCAGGCTCACATAGTGAAGGGGAATCTGGCTGGAGGAGGGCCAGAGCTGGGCCCTCTGAAGAGGGGAGGAGGCACAGGGATGGGCTCCCTAGCCAAGCATCGGGTCAGCAGGTATTTAGTACACCTGGGAGAGTCATCGGCTCAGTTGACCCCCAGCCTTGCTCTCAGGTACAGCCGTGGTTATTTTAGAATGCTTTGGGGACTCACTGGAAAGCAAATCTTTTAGAGCTAAAGATTTAAATAAAGGTTTTCAAATCTTTGTGAGTTTCCTGGCTTTCTCTCTACATAGCATTAAGTAATGGCATTTTTCTACTTTGAAGTCCACAGATGTTAATGGGTTACAGTTTCTGTTTAAACGTGTGATTTTACAAAGAATATTTCAATCTCATTTTATCCATTATCAGAATGGTATGTGAAATGATTTCCATGTTTCCAAAACAATTATGGCGCAGTAGAGTTAGTATAACCTTGAAAACACATTGTTGACTCCTTTCTGAAATGTTATAAGGCTATGGTTTTTGACTGTATTGTATGCCAATCACTTCTGTACCTTCCAAAATTCTCATATGGTGTAGAGTTAAACTTTGTCTAATAAACTGGAGTTCAGTTCTTACATATTTGGAACCGCATGAATGTAAGCATGCAAGATTGTGTTGTAAGCAAACATCATTATTTCTTTACAATACAGATCAAAGCCCAACCATTCTAACTGGCCTTTACCAATGTCAAGTAATAAGTAATTAATAGAATAATGGCTGAATTTGTTTCCTAGGGCAACCATAACAAAATACCACAAACTAGGTGTCTTATCGCATCAAAAACTTATGCTCTCACATAATTTATTCTCAGAACTAGAAGTCCAAAATCTAGGTGTTGCCAGGGTCAAGCTCCCTTCAGAGCCTGCAGGGAGGTGGGGGGCGGTCCTTCCTTGCCGCTTTCAGCTTTTAGTCGTCCAAGATGTTCCCTGGTTGGGGCAGCATAACCTGAATCTGTCTCTATCTTCATGTGGCTGTCTTCCCTTTGTGTCTGTGTCTAAATTTTCCCCTTTTATATATATATAAGGACACCAGTCATATTGGATTAGGCTAATCCAGTATAGCCTTATGTTAATCTGCAAAGCCCCTATTCCCAAATAAGGACGTGTTTACAGGCCAAGGACTTAAACACATCCTTTGAAGAGGGCACAGTTCACTCTATAACACTGACTATATGCCAGAAACTAGTGTAGGTGCTTTATGTTTATTATCTCATCGAAACCTTACAGCAACTGTGTGAAATGAGGACTGCCGTTGTCCTGTTTTGCGAATGTGCAGACTGAGGAGCAGAGAGATCACATGACTTGTTGAACCCCCCCCCCCCGCCCCCCGCCGTGGCTGGTGACTGGCTGGGACACAGACATGCCCCCACATTGTAACCGCTAAAGCCATATTAAGTAAAATGTAGTAGTATCACACTTTGCACTTATTGTATTTAAATAAATTCTAATTGTCTGTCCTGAAAGTCAGAATCTATTATTTCTCAGTTTGTGTCTTTTTGTAACTGTCTTTATATTTAAACATTACAGGTGATTTTACACTGGTAAATGGCTTGGATTAGTTGGACTTTTTATAGTTCCCAGTTGTATGAAGAGATAACAGAACCAGTGTAAACAGTAAAAACTATTCAAGAAATTAAGAAACAGCAGAAACTCAGAGACTATGCATTGTACAATTTTCAAAACCAATAGACAAAGCAATATTTTTCTTTTATAAAATATTTTATTTTCTTAGTGAATAAAGAAGAATTGATTGAAATTTAGAGGCAGATAATGTTATGCCTGTTTCTAGAGTGTTAGAAAAGAATTGTAGGAAAAATGCCGCTTCACCTTTAATACTCTAAAGGTCCAGACCTATCAGTAAACTAAGTGATTTTGCTACAAGAATACTAAATAGAATGCAAAAGTACATTTATATGTACAGGAACATATGAAAATACAAGTGGTAAATATATTCCTAGACAAACATTGACCTTTATAAGCAATGAACTTTGGGATTGATATATTGCTTTGAATCAGAGCTTTTGTTTTCTTTGGCTATGTACCCAGGAGTAGAATTGCTGGATCATATTTAGTTCTATTTTTAGTTTTTTGAGGAACTTCTATGCTGTTTTCCACAGCAGCTATACCAACCAGCATTCCCACCAACAGTGTCCAAGGTTTATCATTTCCCCACTTCCTTGCCAACATTGGTTATCTGTGATCTCTTTGATGACAGTCATTTGGGCAGGTGTGAGCTGATTTCTCACTGTGGTTTTGACTTTCATTTCTTTGATGATTAATGATGTGAGTATCTTTTCATGTGCCTATTGGTCAAACATCTGTCTTCTTTGGGAAAAAGTCTATTCAGGTCTTGTGTCCATTTTCAATTGTTTTCTGTTAATGTTGAGTTATATGAGCTATTTATATTTGTTAGCTTTAGCCCCGTGTTATTCAAATCATTTGCAAGTATTTTCCTCCCACTCAGTAGCTTGTCTTTTCATTTTGTTGATGGTTTTCTTTGCTGTGCAAATGCTTTTCAGTTTAATTAAGTCTTTGTTTATTTTTGCTTTTGTTCCTTTGCCTTAGACAGATCCAAAAAATATTGCTATGATTTATGTCAAAGAAGTTCTGCCTATGTTTTCTTCTATAAGATTTGTGGTTTCCAGTGGATATTTTTTTATGTAGTGACCACAGTTCTCAGAATAATATTTCTTAAACATGAAAAAGTAACTTCTTATCTTCCTGTTACTAAAATGTTAGTTTAGCATATATTTGAAATTGCCAAATGCAGGGCAGCAAATATAAAACATTTAACATACTAAATCGTTATCATCAATCAGGAAAACTTCATTTCTTGGCATTCATATTGGCATTCATGGCAATAATTCTGTTGCCATGAGTAAACTTCTTTGATTTTGTCTTCCCTATGGCACTCGTTTGTGGCATTTTTTCCTGCTTCTACTAAAATTCCAAATTTTTCACATTGGTTTTCATGATACTCATTCACATCTTACCACATCTCTTCTATGGCTTTGGCAATAATGCACCCAGTATCATAGTTTTAAAGCACTATATTTGGCAATTATCTCTTTGTGGGTGAGTGCTGAACCTAATAGTAACATGTATAACTCACTTTCATAAGCAAATGCCAGAGCCACCAAAATGCCAGCAAGAATGAGAAGTAGTACAGAGCATTCCTCGTCAGGCATGATTAGAACGAGGCCACAAGTGATTTCGGGAAATAGTAAGCATATGTCAATGCTGAAAATAATAACCCTCCGTTTGCCACCTCTTGATTTCTCAGTGTAAACTTGTGGGGGCTCATGAATAAAGCATTTCTTTTCTTGCCAGCCTCAAAGTTTATGTTAGCCCTAAGCCAGAATAAGAGAAGTGAACCTTTAATTTTCAATCTGAAGCATTTTCCCGTTGGTTTTCACAGGTCTCCCCTCAGAAAAGAAAGCCAGTCAGTAGATGCACACACCAGCAGAGGGGCACACGGGCCGGGGAGAGCTTGGTGGAAGGCCCTCGTCCCCCTGCTTGCTGGGGCTCCTGTCTCCACCGCTGCACACCCCGCCTTCACTACGGGTGCCCAGGCATGGCTCCCCTTGGCAGGAATGGAGGACGAAGCTGAGACAGCCGAGATCCTGATCAAGTCCAAGGAGCCAGAATTTACAGCCTATCACAACTTCCAGTTTCCTGGAAATAAGATTTGGCTGATGAATTATGGGTGATGCCTCGAAACTCTGTTCAGCATATTGCTGTTGGACTTTCAGAAATGATTTCATGATTTCAGCAGCTCCATTTGTGATGCAGTGATATTGTGTGTTGATTTAAATGTGTTCCCTGGGGGAAAAGTTTCTGCAGTTATAAAATTTTAACACTGCTCCCATTGTTTTTATAGGGGCCTAGGTCTTTAGCCAGTTTATCTAGATGCTAATTTCATGATTGTTCACCTCAGAGAACCAATAAACAGAGTTGAAGAGGTGTATATACTTTCTTAAATGGATTCAACCTAAAGAAAATAGTAAATTTGAAACTATAAACACAAATCATTTCTTTAAGATGAGAAATTGTGAGTCTACTTCATTTTTAGGTGGACTAGATTATGAAAGATAAAATCCTAATGTGATGGTGATGGCTTTGCTGTGTACATATGTATTTAGAGAAGTTCAAAAATACATGAATTTGCAGTTAAATCTGTTTTCCTTCCTGTGTATTTGCATACTGCTGCTAAGTCACCTCAGTCGTGTCCAACTCTATGTGACCCCATAGACGGCAGCCCACCAGGCTCCCCCGTCCCTGGGATTCTCCAGGCAAGAACACTGGAGTGGGTTGCCATTTCCTTCTCCAATGCATGAAAGTGAAAAGTGAAAGCGAAGTCACTCAGTCGTGTCCGACTCTTAGTGACGCCACGGACTGCAGCCCACCAGGCTCCTCCTTACATGGGGTTTTCCAGGCAAGAGTACTGGAGTGGGGTGCCATTGCCTTCTCCAGTGTATTTGCATAATTACTAACAAAAAGCATAACTCTGTCTTCTCAAACCAATTAAAATGGAAAACAGATGTATCCAAATTTTATTGCAGTTAAATTATACAGTTACATGACAGATGTCTAAAGATTGTGCTAAGTCACTTCAGTCGTGTCTGATTCTTTGTGACCTCATGGACTGCTGCCTGCCAGGCTCCTCTGTCCATGGGATTCTCCAGGCAAGAACACTGGAGTGGCCTGCCATTTCCTACTCCAGGGAATCTTCCCGACCCAGGGATCCAACCCTCATCTCTTACGTCTCCTACATTGGCGGGCAGGTTCTTTACCTCTAACGCCACCTGGGAAGCCCCGAATTCAGTCCTTTGAGAGCTTTTCAGCAAACACAGATCAACAATATTTACAGGTATGCTGTTTGCTTAGTGAGTCAGTCGTGTCCGACTCTTTGCGACCCCATGGACTGTAGCCTAACAGGCTCCTCTGTCCATGGAGATTCTCCAGGCAAGAAAACTCACGTGGGATGCCATGCCCTCCTCCAAGGGATCTTCCCAACCTAGGGATTGAAATCAGGTCTCCTGAACTGCAAGAGGATTCTTTACTGTCTAAACCATCAGGGAAGCCTGCCTAAAGAATAAGCAGATTTTAAAATACTAAGTTCATCATTTAATAATGATTCTGCTAGGACCAACTGGAGATCCTCTTTGTGAGGAGGTGTAAAGCAAGAATGTGAGATTCATGAATATCTGTATTTCTCTAAATATCTAAAGAAAACCAGGAGCATCTGTTGAAGCTGCAGTCAAATAAATAATCCAGAGATACACCTGGGAGTATCTAGCTCCAACTTCCAGATGTTATTCTGCTTAATTCCAGCTCAATCTTCTCAACTTCAACTTCTTAAGATACTTGAAGCTTTGTATAAGAGGAAGATTAAAGGGTCTTATGAAGTAAAATACTTTCAACCTCAGTCTTTGGTGGCTTAATTCTTAATGATTCTTGAGGAAGAATTATCCTTTCTGTCCTAAAGCTTTGTTTTCTCTACTTGTTAAAGAGACAGATCACTCCTGGACAATACTTGAGTATAAGTGAATCAGAAAAACAACAGTTGCTTCCTAACATTTTGCCATATTTTGTAAATTGCCATTTCCTTTAATTAGTAAAAAAGCCATTGTAATCCAACTTCCAGTACTGGGCTTTGTTTGCTAACTGAGGTGTTCCCACCAGAATAAAAATTGAACATATAGACAAGAAGTACTCCTTGATAGGCTTGTTATAGGTCAATTCAGCAGCAATAATACATGATTTAATTTACTGAAGACATCCTATTACCAATTAGCAAGTTGCCAAACATTGGCAAGATTGTACAAATGCTAATGTATTGGGAGAAAATCCAGTTTAGGTGAGACCTAATTTCTTTTGAACTCCTCGTGGGTGACTGCAAAAGCGCAAAGAGGGCCCTTGCTCAGCGCACTACTGCGAATCCGAGAAGACCGACTTCCATGCCCCTCACCCACAAGTCAGCCAGCCCCTCCCGGCCCTCTCCCTGGATCACTGGGGGACTCTCTGCCTCAGCGCCTTGTGAGGGTCAGACCCCTAGGCCGTGGCACTTGCTGCTTCATCACACACAACGTGTAGAAACTCTGTGAGGAATAGCCTTGTCCCTTTGAAAGGAGAGGAAGTCACAACTCACAGTCTCAGTCTCCTTCGCTTTGGAAAAGGAAGACCAGGCACATTTTAGATTTTCAATGATCATGGAGAATTTGATCTTTGACTTGAAGGTATCACATTAAAAGAAAAGCATATTCACTTTGTCATGGTTGTAGGGTGATGTCAGAAAACCTTCCTTGGAGTCTAGTTAGGTCTGGGAGTGGGGCCAGCTTCTAACACTCACTCACGAGCACAGAGTTTTTTAACTTCACTTTCCTTATCAGCAGAAAAGAATATTTCAGACTAAATTTCTAATATTATTAAGCATGGGCTAGCTTCCAGATGATTTTCCTTAGTTTATTTATTGAGCTCCATCACCAAGCAAAAGAGGTATAATTATCCTCTTGCTACAGGTGATTAATCAAAATCTCTTGGCAAGAAAATGACAGAGCCAGGATTCACAACTTCTCCAGGGCTGCCCGGTTCTGTGCATGCTATAATCCTGCTTCTAAATTATTCCAGCAAGTTCCACTTGTTCTACAGTTCTTTGGGTCTTCATCAAGTTGTAGTACAAGAGCATACTTCTTAAGAGAAAATATTTTTATAAAAATACTATATATTGTATAGAATTTATGCTACCCCCCTGAGTAAAGACAATTATCTCATTTAAGCTCCTATCTAGAAAAAGAAAAATAAACATTTAATGTTAAACTACATTAAAGGTACAAGTATGGGCCTTGTAGGCTGCTTTCACATATTGACACGTCCCTCAGTCACTGGTAGTATTGAATCTAAAAGACATGTATCTCTCAATTCCACCATTCAGTTTAGCGATTATTCTTTAAATACCCACTTGTTTTAAAAAATGTCCAGGCAGCTCAAAATATCACACTTCTTTCTCTGTGCACTAATTTTGATTGAGTCCATATCTAAAGGGGAGGACAGAGTCATTTAGCAGCCATTATTCTCCCCAATGTAAGATCTCTTTGCCTTATCTCATTTCTCTCATTTTTCTTCTAATCTTCCTGGTAACCTACATGACATTACATCTTAGGAAGATAGATAAGCAGTTGCATTGCTGCTGCAACTCTACTGTGATTTGGCTTAAGCTTCAAGCACAAGTTCAAAAGAAAAGAAAATTATTTGCTAAAATCCTTATTTTTACTTTTCAGTAATTTTAGAAATAATTTCTCTTGCCTACTTTCTTTTTTGTATATATACCTCTTCATTTTCATCAGTCTCCTCTCCAAGGGAGAATGGTATTATGAGAAAACAGTTACACCTCCAGCCTTTGTGATTCCATAAAAAAGGAAAGTTCTGCTAATACACACATGCCATACACACACCCACATACACTACAGGCATATGCGCATGTGCATGAACACACACACACACACACACACACACACCCTGCCTCTGCCTCCCCATCCTTCTAGGAAACACTGTGGGCCTCCGGTTTCTCTGTCTGTGATTGGGTGAAAGTTAAGTGAAAGTTAAGTTGCTCAGTTGTGTCCGACTCTTTGCGACACCATGGACTGTAGCCCACCATGCTCCTCCATCCATGGGATTCTCCAGGCAAGAATACTGAAGTGGGTTGCCATTTCCTTCTCCAGGGGATCTTCCCGACCCAGGGATCGAACCCAGGTCTCCTGCATTGCAGGCAGACACTTTAACCTCTGAGCCAGGGAAGCCCTCTGATTGGGTAGATATATTCAAATGGAAAATTTTCCATAATAAAGCTATTTATTTCCATTTTGCCTCAAATGCTTGCATGTGTATTATATTGACAAACTCTATCTTATGCTTCCTACAAGAACTGATAACATTGAGATATAACACCAATTAACTTGCCAGTAATTGCAAGTTATATGAGGGGAATTTAATGTTTGTGGAAAGGTGTGAGTCTCACTAATTTGTGTCCTGCACTCAGAAGTTAAAATAATTTCTCTCTGCTCTTCTTCCACTTTATTCCACTTCAATATCCAAAAGAAGAGCCCAATTTATGAGGTTCATGAAGTAACAACGTGGGTAAACTAAACCCAACCCATAGGGCTTCCCAATGCCCTTAGTTTGTTACTGAGAATTAATTTGCTGGGAGAATCCCTCCTGTGAACCGACTTTCTGGAGTCTGCCCTTGACTCTGGGGAGCGTGCTGGGGCGGCCTGGAGAGCCCATTTGCACATCTGCAGGGAAGCTCTCAGCTCCCTTCTTGCTCCCCTGCAGCCCTCGGATGACAGCCCACATCGGCCAACACAGACACACAGGCAGCTGGCAAGCCCGAGGCCCCCTCCCCCGAGACACCCCTCTGCAGGCAGGAGGGCGGGCTTCATGCTGGCGAAGCT